GATGTCAAATTATCAAAGCAGTGGAAACCATTCACAACAAAGTCTAACTTCATTTGACAGTTTTCTGCTACACTTCTTCTGAATTATTGTTTCAGGGAGATTTTCTTAGTCATGTAATTATATTTGTAATGACAAGAAAAAAGAAATGATAAACAGGTCAAAAACAATTTTAATCTCATAATAACTAATCAATGAAGACTAAATTGTATTGAAAAGAATAATGAATCTTCCTCATAGGACTTTAATATATATATACCTGCTGACTTGTATATAATATTTGGGAAGCTTTTTTGGGATAGCTACTTTTAATTTAGAAATTTTAGCATAAATTTTGATATCAATATTTGTATGTAGCTTTCCAGAAATCACAATATTTTATATCAAATTTTCCTACATTGTTCCATAACAAATGCTTGCGATCATTTATAAATGTACAATATCCTGATTTTTCATGTTTCTTTTTACATTATTATGTGAGGCCAGTCTTGCTACAATGAGTGATTATCAAAGAGAATTTTGTTATCAGTTATTAATGTATATGGAAAATCATTCTATAGAGGTCAGTTGACACTTTCTGACCCTGCTTTTGGGGTCTTTAACTTAATATTCCTTTCCTGGTGAGTGAAACAGGAAAATAATTATCTTGGGAATCCAAGGAATCCTGGGCTATCTCTGTCATCTCTGATTCTTTCTCTTGGGTAGTATGCAAGTTTCTAGTATAGTTCCTATATGAATTCAGAAATTTTGTATGCATTTATTAATCTTAATTCAATTGAAAAAAAATATTGATCTATTCATTAATGCCAGTACAGAACAGGGTTTTTATACAAACATTCATTTTAATGTTTATTTTCAAAATATAAGTTCAAATTCATTCTCTCTGTGCTCTGACTGATTTAGTACCACCCTTTTTCAAAGATGAACAAAAAATGACAACAAGTGAAACCCAATACAGAATGTGTATTATACAATGAATAACATGTTATTTGTCTCAATTCTGTTCTTAAAATTCAAAGCCTATAAACAATTCATTCAAAGAAATGTGATACTATTACAACACAAAGTGATTAAATTTAAAAGCCTGAGTTTCAGACAAAAACAAACAAAAAAATCTGTTCCATACAGTAAGTTATTAAAGGCTTTTAAGGTTATTATATAAAGTCAGTTAGAAAAGTCCCCATGGTAAATGTCCATATCATTAAGTCAGTTTAAAAGGGGTCAATGGTAAATGTCCAAACCATTCAAGTATTTATAAAAGGCCTCTTGTTAATCATTTCTACATTAAATGCCAAAGGTGTGTGCCAACACTAAAAGTAACTTAAAAAAGGTCCCTGGTAATAATCCCCAACTTTGAAGAAGTCATAAAAGATCTTGGTTTATTACATAGTTGGATTACAAATAAATAGATATGTTACTGTTTACCACAATTTATCTAAGAAGACTGAAGTTGAAGTCAAATAGTAATTGCAAAATATTTTGCTGAACTGCTGGGATGAGTTCAACATTTGAAGCTGGTTTGTTAATGCAACTAATACAAATATAACATAAGTCAAACATAGTTTTATGTCAAAACCTGATATAAATGTTTTATTAATAAATAATTAATAATATTGGTTAAAATGTATTGATTTTGTATGTTCTTGCATTCCTCTGAAGATTATGGTGTTGATAAGGGAATATCAAATTTATAAATGTCTGTAGACATTCATAAAATGTGTATATAATATTTTCATTCATCTGTCAATGACACATTATATCCTTTATAAAGCAGATACCACATTTATCATGAAATAAACTATGAGGGTGGAAAGGGGATTTGATATTTGGCATGAAGGGGTATTACCATAAGAAGATGTGCCACATATAATCACGACCTTCATTTCACCTTGATCTTTGATCTCAAGGTTAAGATAATTATTTTTTAGGGACATTTTCCTGTCTGGAATGTATTGATTTTATTTATAGGCTTTTGATATTTGTCATATGGGTGCAGTAACTCAGGACTATGTTTTGCATACCTTGAAGGTGATCTCTGACCTTGAATTTTGACCTTAAAGATCAGAGAAATTAATTTTTTTTTACATCCACTGAAAAAACCTATATATTCTTACTTGCCATGCATGGCAACACTAATGGTCTAACACAGAAATGAAATTTAAAAAAAACTTACTCCTTTAAGCCATGCATGCACGGCTAACTCGCCATAATGGGGTAAGTTTCAGAAATAAATTATTTACTGAATATTCCAGTTTTCAAAGTATTTGTTGTTTCAAGATAATTCTTTGATTTTACGTACACCATATGTCTTATCCTGGCCTGTCCCCTAATATTGGTAACTGTTTTAATCACCAAAAACTGTACATATCATCTCCCCTAAATCATATATATATATATATTCTGATATGCCATGATAAGACATTTCTGGTGCACCATAGGTTTTGCTCTTGGGGGTCATGGCATCAATTCACTAAATATTATTATTTTTTAATTATCTCTACAGCTGTTCAAATTTGCATCATTTATACCATATATTATACCATATATATTTCTAAATTCCATGACAAGACTTTTCTTCTGCACAATAGATTTTGTTCAGGGGTGAAGTGGTATTGTCATACTAGTCTACATATGATGTGATATTGGAAGCTGCACTTTTTTAGTATTAAAATACTTATAAAAATAAGGAGATGTGGTATGATATATTTCTTATTATATACTTAGTAGTAAATACATGTAAATTGTTTGTGTGATATGATCAATGGCAATCGTGCTGTATCAGCCATCCATGATGATATCGATATCAGTCATGGTTGCAAAGGCTTTAAATATCACACCCTTAATCTGTATGACGTCATGTCATCGACATCGACATCAGTCACCGTTGCAAAGGCTTTATCAAACCCCTAATCTGCATTACGTCACGTCACATGAAAAAACATCTACTTGAGGTATATAATAAAGTGTATAATGATATGGCTTTATCAATAACACACACCATATCAACCCTCAACCAATACAATCCCTTGAGCAGAGCTCTTGGGATTATATTGGTGTCTCGGTTGATACGGATGTGATATTGAAAAAGCCATATAATATTCTTTATTTATCAAATTTACATAAACAAACCAGTAATATTTATGTAGATTTGAGTTTTTGTCTGAAGTTGTTTAACTTTGTTAGCAAATAATAATACCATCAAAAATTTGATAAACTCAACATTTCATTTTCTTAGATTTAGTCTTAGAATTGGCAGTTGTATATTAGTAACAGTAATTAGAATAGAATGTTTACAAGTTATGTTGCACTTTGTTGAGGGAAATCTGTTCTATTTGTTATATTATTTGAACACTTTTGAAAATTGTAAGAGCAGTTATTGATTTGTAATAGATAAAGTGATTTGGTCATATTTGTATTCTTGGGTTAAGATAGTGTAAATGAATCTATTGACAGTGGGTTTGACATTTGACAGCAATCTTGGTGTGCTTCAATTTTAATGCCAATATTGACATACCCTGTAATTGAGTTCATGATGCCATGCAATTAATGTGCAGAAATGATTTGTAGAAGTGCAATGAATTCTAAATAGGCAGTAATGAAGGAAATATCAGAGACAATTCAATTGTTAACATAAAGTGCATTCATTTTAGTTTAAAAGTACTTTTACATGATTTCTCAAGAATTGTATTACTGTGGATTCATTTAGTTTCGTGGATGCCAATTTTTGTGGATTGAGAAAAACATGCATTTTAGGGGATATTTGATTTCGTGGTTTAAGTGCTAGAGTCTGCATATAATCATATTGAAAATTTTTTATTCATTGAACAGTTAAATTCATGGTTCACTAAAGTATTGTACCCATGGAATCCACGAAATTTGGTATCCAAAAAATAATGAATTCACAGTAGTTAGGACATCTGTTGGGTATCATCAGTTAAAGAATTCAGGAATCAGAAAGTAAATAACAGATAAGTGACTGAAGTGTGTTTTGTAATGGGTAGATCTGCCACTTGTAGGGCATGTCGACAAAACATTTGTTGTACTTTCAGCAGCTGTAACATGAGATTAACTGATAATAAAACAATATTAAATTACCATGCCATTTAAGTCTGCAACCAAATTTGACATTCTCTTTTTTATTTAAAGTACATAAGTTTCCATCAGTTAACCCTAATTCTTATAACTAGGAGTAAGTTCTAAGGAATGCTCCATATGAAGTTTGATCTTACCTCCTATAGACATCTGTGAAGCTCATTGGTTAAAAGCTAATGACACTTGGGAACAGTGTATATCTATATTATGTCACATTATGTTATATGTTTTAACAGCAGCACATACACACAAAATTTTCTGTTTAGCCAAGGTCTTATGGGAAATTTGACAACTACAATGCTTTCTAATTCAAAATACTATGGGAGTAGTTTTACTTGTAGATATGAATGAAAGATCTGATCTACCTCAATCAGACAGCAACCAATACATACTTTTAAAAATAAACACATACCAGTTTATATGATTTATGAACATCTTTGATTCTTTTTGTATCACTTTAAGATTTCTGTGTATATAATCATAGTGCAGCATTGATATCTTTTGATTGTATGTTGAGTTAAACATTTTAATTATGTTGACCTTCCAAGATATCTTATTTGGTTTTATTGTGTTGTTGTGTTGCTGTCTCATTGACTTTTTAAAAATAGTTCCCTATATTTGACATCAAAATCCTGTGAAAAATATGATTGCAACTAATAACTAAATCATTTTCAGAACATAATCAAAACAGCAATCAATGAACAGGACGAGGATCAATGCTGAAGTTGAAAATGCACTGCTTATTGTACCAAGGACATCTTATCTGAATTTGAATTGCATGTTAATAGATAAAAATACAATTTCCTGTCTTAAGTGAGAGCATGGGGGATAATTATTGTAATGAGAATAGGATTACCATCATTTTAATGTGTAACTTCAGTAATTTTCAATTAGAATTTTTCTATTTTCAGCAAACCCATTCAGTTTCCAGACCACATTACATAAAAATGGCAGTATAGTTTTTGGTTATAGACAAGTAAGTTCTGTTTATACAATTTGTTTATACAACACCTCAAAGCAATGACATACACAGTAACCCATGTGCAATCTGTGGTATATAAAGTAGTGGCATTTACATGTACAACACCCAATAGGTCCTTTGTGGTATGGAAATTATAGCTATTAGAAATTCTGAGAGTAGAACCAAAAATATAGTGATTTATTTATTTGATGAGTAACTTACCATTTTTGCAATATTAGATTGTCCATCTCATTCAGAATTGCTGTTTGTATACACATAACACTTGGAAAGCTGTTTCAAAAGGGAACCATAACTAAATGTTTTGAAATCATATATAATCTTAGAAAGATTTGCTTCCATCAACTGATAAAATGTATATCTATGTAAATGATGAAATGTTCAGAGGGAATATCAGACCATTTTGATATTTTTTTTTCTTTAAGCAATATAACAAAATGAATATAATTACATAATCATTCAGAATAAACAGTTTATAAAATTTTGAAAACTACAGGTTTAAATTGTAAAAAAAATATTTAATGATCAGTATTTGTCGAGCCTTCGACTTTTGTCGAAAAAGCGAGACATAGCGATCCTACATTCCGTCGGCGTCGTCGGCGGCGTCCACAAATATTCACTCTGTGGTTAAAGTTTTTGAAATTTTAATAACTTTCTTAAACTATCCTGGATTTCTACCAAACTTGGACAGAAGCTTGTTTATGATCATAAGATAATATCCAGAAGTAAGTTTTGTAAAAAAAAATTCCATTTTTCCATATTTTACTTATAAATGGACTTAGTTTTTCTGCCAGGAAACATTACATTCACTCTGTGGTTAAATTTTTTAAATTTTAATAACTTTCTTAAACTATCCTGGATTTCTACTAAACTTGGAAAGAAGCTTGTTTATGATCATAAGATAGTATCCAGAAGTAAATTTTGTAAAAAAAAAATCCATTTTTTCCGTATTTTACTTATAAATGGACTTAGTTTTTCTGCCAGTTAACATTACATTCACTTTGTGGTTAAAGTTTTTAAAATTTTAACAACTTTCTTAAACTATCCTGGATTTGTACCAAACTTGGACAGAAGTTTGTTTATAATTAAAAGCTAGTATCTAAAAGGAAATTTTGTAAAAATTTGTTCCATTTTTTTATACGACCGCAAAAATTAAAAATTTTTTGGTCGTATATTAGTATGACGTTGGCGTCGTCGTCGTCGTCTGGCGTCGTCCGGCGTCGTCCGAAGACACATTGGTTTTCGCACTCTAACTTTAGTTTAAGTAAATGGATCTCCATGAAATTTTACCATAAGGTTCAATACCACGAAAGGAAGGTTGGGATTGATTTTGGGGGTTATGGTACCAACAGTTAAGGAATTAGGGGCCAAAAAGGGGCCAAAAATAAGCATTGTTGTAACTTCCAGACAATAACTTGTGTGTAAGTGTATGGATCTCTCTGACATTGTACCACAAGGTTCCATATCACAAAGGAAAGGCTGTAATTGATTTTGGGGGTTAATTGCCTCAAAATTTTAGGAATTAGGGGCCAAAAAAGGGGCAAAAAACAAGCATTTTTCTAGTTTCATGACAATAACTTGTGTGTAAGTGTTTGGATATTTCTGAAATTGTACTGCAAGGTTCCATATCACAAAGGGAAAGCTGGAATTGAGTTTGGGGGTAATTGCCCGAAACGTTTAGGAATTGGGGGCCAAAAAGGGGCCAAAAATAAGCATTTTTCTAGTTTCCAGACAATAACTTGTGTTCAAGTGTATGGATCTCTCTGAAATTGTACTGCAAGGTACCATACCACAAAGGGAAGGCTGGGATTGAGTTTAGGGGTGATGAATCATAAGGGGGTTCAAAAAATTTGGGGGGGGGGATTTTTTTTTTTTTTCTATTTTTTTCTTTTTTTTCCTTTTTTTTTTCTTTTAAAATTTTCCATTTTAAGTTGGTTATTTCTGATTAATATTTAAAAGCAAATAATAATGATATGGTAGGAGATACACACCAAACAGGATGTGTAAATTATTATATAATAAGTATTGTGCAATAGCAAGAAATTTTCAATTGCACAGTATTGCACAATAGCAAGAAATCTTCAATTGCACAGTATTGCGCAATAGCAAGAAATCTTCAATTGCACAGTATTGCACAATAGCAAGAAATATCCAATAGCACAATATTGCGCAATAGCAAGAAATTGTCAATTGTACAGTATTGCGCAATAGCAAGAAATATTCAATTGCACAGTATTGTGCAAAAGAAGATACTTCGTATAAATTGCTTATTTCTTAATCAATTTAAATGGGGTTTTATTCTTGAATTCTTGGGGTTCTTTAATATGCTGAATCTAACCGTGTATTAAGTTTTTGGATTTTGGGCCCCGTTTTTAAATTGGTCCACATTGAGGTCCAAAGGGTCCAAAATTAAACTTTGTTTGATTTCATCAAAAATTGAATTATTGGGGTTCTTTGATATGCCGAATCTAACCGTGTATTTAGATTCTTAATTTTTGGTTCCGTTTTCAAATTGGTCAACATTAAGGTCCAAAGGGTCCAAAATGAAACTTAGTTTGATTTTAACAAAAATTGAATTTTTAGGGTTCTTTGATATGCTGAATCTAAACATGTATTTAGATTTTTTATTATGGGCCCAGTTTTCAAGTTGGTCCAAATCGGGGTCCAAAATTAAACTTTGTTTGATTTCAACAAAAATTGAATATATGGGGTTCTTTGATATGCTGAATTTAACCATGTATTTAGATTTTTGATTTTTGGGCCCCGTTATCAACTTTGTCCACATTGAGGTCAAAAGGGTCCAAAATTAAACTTTGTTTGATTTCATCAAAAATTAAATTCTTGGGGTTCTTTGATATGCTGAATCTAACCATGTATTTAGATTTTGGATATTGGACCATAATAGGTGAATGTCCAATTTAAAATTTTTAAGTTCTTAGACCACATTCATTCTGTGTCAGAAACCTATGCTGTGTCAAATATTTAATCACAATCCAAATTCAGAGCTGTATCAAGCTTGAATGTTGTGTCCATACTTGCCCCAACTATTCAGGGTTCGACCTCTGCGGTCGTATCAAGCTGCGCCCTGCAGAGCATTTTATTGTATTTTACTTATAAATGGACTTAGTTTTTCTTCCAGTTAACATGACATACAGTCTGCAGTTTAAGTTTTTAAAACATTTATTAAATTCATAAACTATCCTGGATTTTTACCAAACTTGGACAGAAGCTACTTACAATCAAAAGATAGTATATAGAGGAATATTTTTATTTATTTTTTTCCTCATTTTTGTTGAGACTGCGATTAACAGCAAAAGTAGGCGAGACACTGGGTTCCGCGGAACCCTTACGAATTTTTAATCTTTAACTCTTAGTTGAAGACAAGAGTAAATTGTCATTTGAAATAACATAAAATGGACATAAGGTCATTTTCTTGGCCATTTATTGAAAATCAATATTATAATTACAGTTTAAATCTACAGAATGAGAAGTTTTGTCATCACCTATAGTTATCATAGATCTACATGTAGCTTTAAGCATTGTATTATTTCTTTAATTAAAAATCCTTTTGTACTAAAGATACACTTGGGAAATTTGAATTATATGATTCTAACCTAGAAAAAATGTGAGTTCAAAGGACAATATGGCATCGATTAAATGTGTGTACCATAATGGTCATAGATAAAAGCTTCAAGACTTTAAAACTTTTTGGATATGATATTAAATGATTGGACACTTTAAAAACACATCATGTGATTTGTAAAGGAAATATTGTTACCATATTAACATTGCTATTCTTATTTATTTTTTATCAAATTAATTAACATTCATAGGCCATAGTAATTAGGCCTGAAAATTGACATATCATAGCAAAACATCCTTTTTATACGACTGCAAAAAAATTTTGTGGTCGTATATTGGTATGACGTTGGCGTCGTCGTAATCGTCCGAAGACACATTGGTTTTCGCACTCTAACTTTAGTTAAAGTGAATGGATCTCTATGAAATTTTACCATAAGGTTCAATACCACAAAAGGAAGGTGGGGATTGATTTTGGGGGTTATGGTACCAACAGTTAAGGAATTAGGGGCCAAAAAGGGGCCAAAAATAAGCATTTTTATACGACCGCAAAAAAATTTTGTGGTCGTATATTGGTATGACGTTGGCGTCGTCGTCGTCGTCGTCGTCGTCGTCCGAATACATATTGGTTTTCGCACTCTAACTTTAGTTTAAGTGAATGGATCTTTTTGAAATTTGACCATAAGGTTAAATACCACAAAAGGAAGGTTGGGATTGATTTTGGGGGTTATGGTACCAACAGTTAAGGAATTAGGGGCCAAAAAGGGGCCAAAAATGAGCATTTTCTAGTTTCCAGACAATAACTGTGGAACGGTGTATGGATCTCTCTGAAATTATACTACAAGTTTCCATACCACAAAGGGATGGTTAGGATTTGCTTTGGGGGGTTATGGCTCAAACCGTTTAGGAATTAGGGGCAAAAAAGGGGGGAAAAACAAGGTTGTCCTGGTTAATGGACAAATACTTTAGTACAAAACATAATTTAAAGCAGTGTAAGGGAGATAAATCAAATACATCATTGAAATTATCTCCCTTACACTGCTTTTAAATTATGTATAAAGTAATGGTTAATGAACAATAAAGATAATCTAAAACAGTGTAAGGGAGGTAATCCAAATACAACGTTTTGGTTACTTCCCTTACACTGCTTTTAATTATGTTTAAAGAAATGCATATTTATAAAGGAAGACCAGTAAAAATATCTGCAAATGTTTTCATCTTTTTTTTTTACAAAAAAATCCATATGAAAGATTTGACACTATATTTTTATTAATTCTATTATAAAATAGATTAAGTTAGCACTATTGTAAATTTAAATGGGTAATTATGGTTGCCAACTCCATTGGAAATTTGAATTGAGATTATGACCATATCTTGAGGGAAAGAATTTTTTTGGGGGAAAAAGGGGGGGGGGGGGATAAAAAGAAATTGAGGGGGGCCAATTTTTTTCTCATTTCAGATTTCAGAAATTAAAAAGAATTATTCTTCAAATATTATTTTTTTTTCAAATTTCAAATATTGAAAAATTTCAAGAAGTAATCTTTAATTGCACAGTATGGCGCATTAGATTTGTAAAATCTTTGATCACATTTATTTATTTGTTATGCCGAATCTAACAGTGTATTTAGATTTTTAATTTTGGGTCCAGTTTTCAAATTGGTCTACATTAATGTCCAAAGGGTCCAAAATTAAACTTTGTTTGATTTTAGCAAAAATTGAATATATGAGGTTCTTTGATATGCTGAATCTAAACATGTATTTAGATTTTTGATTTTTGGCCCAGTTTTCAAGTTGGTCCAAATTGGGGTCCAAAATTAAACTTTGTTTGATTTCAACAAAAATTGAATATATGGGGTTCTTTGATATGCTGAATCTAACCATGTATTTAGATTTTTTATTTGTGGACCCCGTTATCTAATTGGTTCATATTGAGGTCAAAAGGGTCCAAAATTAAACTTTGTTTGATTTCATCTAAAATTGAATAATTGGGGTTCTTTGATACTCCAAATCTAACCGTGTATTTAGGTTTTTAATTTTGGGTCCTGTTTTTTAAATTGGTCTACATTGAGGTCCAAAGGGTCCAAAATTAAACTTAGTTTGATTTTAACAAAAATTGAATTCTTTGGGTTCTTTGATTTGCTGAATCTAAACATGTGTTTAGATTTTTGATTATGGGCCCAGTTTTCAAGTTGGTCCAAGATAGGGTCCAGTATTTAAACTTTGTTTGATTTCAACAAAAATTGAATGTATGGGGTTCTTTGATATGCTGAATCTTAACATGTATTTAGATTTTTGATTATGGGCCCAGTTTTCAAGTTGGTCCAAATTGGGGTCCAAAATTAAACTTTGTTTGATTTCAACAAAAATTGAATATATGAGGTTCTTTGATATGCTGAATCTAACTATGTATTTAGATTTTTTATTTGTAGGCCCCGCTATCAAATTGGTTCATATTGAGGTCAAAAGGGTCCAAAATTAAAATTTGTTTGATTTCATCAAAAATTGAATTATTGGGGTTCTTTGATATGCCAAATCTAACCGTGTTTTTAGATTTTTAATTTGGGTCCCGTTTTTTAAATTGGTCTTCATTGAGGTCCAAAGGGTCCAAAATTAAACTTAGTTTGATTTTAACAAAAATTGAATTCTTGGGGTTCTTTGATATGCTGAATCTAAACATGTGTCTTGATTTTTGATTATGGGCCCAGTTTTCAAGTTGGTCCAAGTTGAAGTCCAAAATTAAACTTTTTTTGATTTCAACAAAAATTGAATATATGGGGTTCTTTGATATGCTGAATCTAACCATGAATTTAGAATTTTTATTTGTGGGCCCCGCTATCAAATTGGTTCATATTGAGGTCAAAAGGGTCCAAAATTAAACTTTGTTTGATTTCATCAAAAATTGAATTATTGGGGTTCTTTGATATTCCAAATCTAACCGTGTATTTAGATTTTTAATTTTAAGTCCCGTTTTTTAAATTGGTCTACATTAAGGTCCAAAGGGTCCAAAATTAAACTTAGTTTGATTTTCGCAAAAATTGAATTCTTGGGGTTCTTTGATATGCTGAATCTAAACATGTGTTTAGATTTTTGATTATTGGCCCAGTTTTCAAGTTTGTCCAAGTTGGGGTCCAAAATTAAACTTTGTTTGATTTTAACAAAAATTGAATATATGGGGTTCTTTGATATGCTGAATCTAACCATGTATTTTGATTTTGGACATTGGACCATAATAGGTAAATTAAAAAAATTCAAGTTCTTAGACCACATTCTTTCTGTGTCAGAAACCTATGCTGTGTCAAATATTTAATAACAATCCAAATTCAGAGCTGTATCAAGCTTGAATGTTGTGTCCATACTTGCCCCAACTGTTCAGGGTTCGACCTCTGCGGTCGTATCAAGCTGCGCCCCAGCGAAGCATTTTATTGTAACTTCCAGACATAACTTGTGTGTTAGTGTATGGATCTCTCTTACATTGTTCCACAAGGTTCCATATCACAAAGGGAATGCTGGGATTGATTTTGGGGGTAATTGCCTCCAAATTTTAGGAATTAGGGGCCAAAAAGGGGCAAAAAACCAGCATTTTTCTAGTTTCATGAAAATAACTTGTGTGTAATTGTATGGATCTCTCTGACATTGTACCACAAGGTTCCATATCACAAAGGGAATGCTGGGATTGATTTTGGGGGTAAGTGCCTCCAAATTTTAGGAATTAGGGGCCAAAAAGGGGCAAAAAACAAGCATTTTTCTAGTTTCATGACAATAACTTGTGTGTAAGTGTATGGATCTTTATGAAATTGTACTACAAGGTTCCATATCACAAAGGGAAAGCTGGAATTGAGTTTGGGGGTAATTGCCAAAAAAGTTTAGGAATAAGGGGCCAAAAAGGGGCCAAAAATAAGCATTTTTCTAGTTTCCAGACAATAACTTGTGTTCAAGTGTATGGATCTCTCTGAAATTGTACTGCAAGGTACCATAGCAAAAAGGGAAGGCTGGGATTGATTTTGGGGGTAATTTCCTCAAAATTTTAGGAATTAGGGGTCATAAAGGGGCAAAAAAACAAGCATTTTTCTAGTTTCAGGACAATAACTTGTGTGTAAGTGTATGGATCTTTATGAAATTGTACTGCAAGGTTCCATATCACAAAGGGAAAGCTGGGTTTGAGTTTGGGGGTAATTGCCCTTAATGTTTAGGAATTTGGGGCCAAAAAGGGGCCAAAAAACAAGCATTTTTCTAGTTTCCAGACAATAACTTGTGTTCAAGTGTATGGATCTCTCTGAAATTGTACTGCAAGGTACCATACTACAAAGGGAAGGCTGGGATGAGTTTGGGGGTGATGAATCATAAGGGGGTTCAAAAAATTTTGGGGGGGGGGATTTTTTTTCCCTTTTTTTTCTTTAAAATTTTCCATTTTAAATTGGTTATTTCTGATTTATATATAAAAGCAAATAATAATAATATGGTTTGAATTGGTAAATTTAATTTTTTTTAGTTCTTAGACCACATTCATTCTGTGTCAGAAACCTATGCTGTGTCAAATATTTAATTACAATCCAAATTCAGTGCTGTATCAAGCTTGAATGTTGTGTCCATACTTGCCCCAACTGTTCAGGGTTCGACCTCTGCGGTCGTATCAAGCTGCGCCCCAGCGGAGCATTTTATTAAACTTAGGTTAGCAGTCTGTAATTATTCGATATTATATTTCTTTTAAAAGCTTGTTGATCAAATAGTCATAGATTTTCACAGGCTCTTTTAAGACTCAAAATAACAATTGTAATCAATCTCAATGAAACATTTCATTCTCATGTGTGTTGTATTTAGCCATTATTCTTCTATTGGTCCATTAGTAACAATCCAGATCACACATGTATTGTCATATAATAAATCCCAGCAAATTCATTAACTCATAAGATATGAATTAATAAAGTATACTATGTCACCTGCAGAAATATATATACCAAAGAGTGAATTAATATTATCAAGATTCTATTGCTTTATTAGAAATGAATAAAACCATGTATGTCAAAACTTTGTGGGAATGCATCGCAGTCTTTTGATTAGATACTAAAAACTTTATTATAATTTTAAAAAGTTTGGGACCTATAAAAATTTTGGGACCTATACAAAATATTATCACAGGTTCTTACACAGCAGTAACTGATTCCAAAACTTTGGAACTAACTTTTTATAGTTTGTGGAAATTCACAAGAACACAAGAAAAAGCCATACCAAGATGACATCAAGAGACAAATTAGAAAGCACCAGAAGTAGTCAATAAGGCCAGTCGGAAAGTACCAAAAGTAGTGAATAAGGCCAACCAGAAAGCACCAAAAGTGATAAATATAAAGGTCAATCAGAAAGCACCAAAAGTAGTAAACAATACCAATCAGAAAGCATCAAAAGTAGTAAATAAGGCCAATCAGAAAGTACCAAAAGTAGTAAATAAGATCAATCAGAAAGTACCAAAAGAAGTAAATAAGGTCAATCAGAAAGTACCAAAAGTAGTAAATATAAAGGTCAATCAGAAAGTACCAAAAGTAATAAATAAGGTTAATCAGAAAGCACCAGAAGTAGTAAATAAGGTCAATAAGAAAGCACCAAAGTAGTAAATAAGGTCAATCAGAAAGTACCAAAAGTAGTAAATAAGGTTAATCAGAAAGCACCAAAAGAAGTAAATAAGGTCAATCAGAAAGTACCAAAAGTAATAAATATAAAGGTCAATCAGAAAATACCAAAAGTAGTAAATAAGGTCAATCAGAAAGCACCAAAAGTAGTAAATAAGATCAATCAGAAAGCACCAAAAGTAGTAAATAAGGTTAATCAGAAAACACCAAAAGTAGTAAATAAGGTCAATCAGAAAGCATCGCAGTCTTTTGATTAGATACTAAAAACTTTATTATAATTTTAAAAAGGAAATTTTGGGACCTATACAAAATATTATCACAGGTTCTTACACAGCAGTAACTGATTCCAAAACTTTGGAACTAACTTTTTATAGTTTGTGGAAATTCACAAGAACACAAGAAAAAGCCATACCAAGATGACATCAAGAGACAAATTAGAAAGCACCAGAAGTAGTCAATAAGGCCAATCGGAAAGTACCAAAAGTAGTGAATAAGGCCAATCAGAAAGCACCAAAAGTGATAAATATAAAGGTCAATCAGAAAGCACCAAAAGTAGTAAACAAGGCCAATCAGAAAGCACCAAAAGTAGTAAATAAGGCCAATCAGAAAGTACCAAAAGTAGTAAATAAGATCAATCAGAAAGTACCAAAAGAAGTAAATAAGGTCAATCAGAAAATACCAAAAGTAGTAAATATAAAGGTCAATCAGAAAATACCAAAAGTAGTAAATAAGGTCAATCAGAAAGTACCAAAAGTAGTAAATAAGATCAATCAGAAAGCATCAAAAGTAGTAAATAAGGTCAATCAGAAAGTTCCAAAAGTAATAAATATAAAGGTCAATCAGAAAATACCAAAAGTAGTAAATAAGGTCAATCAGAAAGTACCAAAAGTAGTAAATAAGATCAATCAGAAAGTACCAAAAGAAGTAAATAAGGTCAATCAGAAAATACCAAAAGTAGTAAATATAAAGGTCAATCAGAAAATACCAAAAGTAATAAATAAGGTCAATCAGAAAGTACCAAAAGTAGTAAACAAGGCCAATCAGAAAGCACCAAAAGTAGTAAATAAGGTCAATCAGAAAGTACCAAAAGTAGTAAATAAGATCAATCAGAAAGTACCAAAAGTAGTAAATAAGGTCAATCAGAAAGGACCAAAAGTAGTAAATAAGGTCAATCAGAAAGCACCAAAAGCAGTAAATAAGGTTAATCAGAAAGTACCAAAAGTAATAAATATAAAGGTCAATCAGAAAGCACCAAAAGTAGTAAATAAGGTTAATCAGAAAACACCAAAAGTAGTACATAAGGTCAATCAGAAAGCACCAAAAGAAGTAAATAAGGTCAATCAGAAAGTACCAAAAGTAGTAAATAAGGCCAATCAGAAAGTACCAAAAGTAGTAAATAAGGTCAATCAGAAAGTACCAAAAGTAGTAAATATAAAGGTCAATCAGAAAGTACCAAAAGTAATAAATAAGGTTAATCAGAAAGCACCAGAAGTAGTAAATAAGGTCAATAAGAAATCACCAAAAGTAGTAAATAAGGTCAATCAGAAAGTACCAAAAGTAGTAAATAAGGTTAATCAGAAAGCACCAAAAGAAGTAAATAAGGTCAATCAGAAAGAACCAAAAGTAATAAATATAAAGGTCAATCAGAAAATACCAAAAGTAGTAAATAAGGTCAATCAGAAAGCACCAAAAGTAGTAAATAGGTTAATCAGAAAACACCAAAAGTAGTAAATAAAGTCAATCAGAAAGCACCAAAAGAAGTAAATAAGGTCAATCAGAAAGCACCAAAAGAAGTAAATAAGGTCAACCAGAAAGCACCAAAAATAGTAAATAAGGCCAATCAGAAAGCACCAAAAGTAGTAAATAAGGCCAATCAGAAAGTACCAAAAGTAGTAAATAAGGTCAATCAAAAAGTACCAAAAGTAGTAAATAAGGTCAATCAGAAAGCACCAAAAGTAGTAAATAAGGTCAATCAGAAAGTACCAAAAGTAGTAAATAAGGTCAATCAGAAAGTACCAAAAGTAGTAAATAAGGTCAATCAGAAAGTACCAAAAGTAGTAAATAAGGTCAATCAGAAAGTACCAAAAGTAGTAAATAAGGTCAATCAGAAAGTACCAAAAGTAGTAAATAAGGTTAATCAGAAAGTACCAAAAGTAATAAATATAAAGGTCAATCAGAAAGCACCAAAAGTAGTAAATAAGGTTAATCAGAAAGTACCAAAAGTAATAAATATAAAGGTCAATCAGAAAGCACCAAAAGTAGTAAATAAGGTCAATCAGAAAGCACCAAAAGTAGTAAATAAGGTCAATCAGAAAGTACCAAAAGTAGTAAATAAGGTCAATCAGAAAGTACCAAAAGTAGTAAATAAGGTCAAACAGAAAGTACCAAAAGTAGTAAATAAGGTCAATCAGAAAGTACCAAAAGTAGTAAATAAGGTCAATCAGAAAGTACCAAAAGTAGTAAATAAGGTCAATCAGAAAGTACCAAAAGTAGTAAATAAGGTTAATCAGAAAGTACCAAAAGTAATAAATATAAAGGTCAATCAGAAAGTACCAAAAGTAGTAAATAAGATCAAAAGCAGTAAATAAGGTTAATCAGAAAGTACCAAAAGTAATAAATATAAAGGTCAATCAGAAAGCACCAAAAGTAGTAAATAAGGTTAATCAGAAAACACCAAAAGTAGTACATAAGATCAATCAGAAAGCACCAAAAGTAGTAAATAAGGCCAATCAGAAAGTACCAAAAGTAGTAAATAAGGTCAATCAGAAAGTACCAAAAGTAGTAAATATATAGGTCAATCAGAAAGCACCAAAAAGAGTAAATAAGGTTAATCAGAAAACACCAAAAGTAGTAAATAAGGTCAATCAGAAATCACCAAAAGTAGTAAATAAGGTCAATCAGAAAGCACCAAAAGTAGTAAATAAGGCCAATCAGAAAGCACCAAAAGTAGTAAATAAGGTCAATCAGAAACCACTAAAAGTAGTAAATAAGGCCAATCAGAAAGCACCAAAAGTAGTAAATAAGGTCAATCAGAAAGCACCAAAAGTAGTAAATAAGGCCAATCAGAAAGCACCAAAAGTAGTAAATAAGGCCAATCAGAAAGCACCAAAAGTAATAAATATAAAGGTCAATCAGAAAGCACCAAAAGTAGTAAATAAGGCCAATCAGAAAGCACCAAAAGTAGTAAATAAGGTCAATCAGAAAGCACCAAATAGAGAACAAATAGAATCAATTAGAAATCATCAAAAGGAGGACTAACTAGACCAATCAAAAAGCACCAAAAGTAAACTAATAAAATCAAGAAGAAATCATTAAAAGGAGGACTAACTAAACCAATCAGTAAGCACCAAAAGGAGACCTAACAAAAAAAGTATTGCATGCCTCCATTTCATTGTAAGGAATAGTGAATAGACAGATATGTTGTTTGCTATAATTATTTCATTATAGAATTTCCAACATTTTCATTTCCAATGGGTGGCTCCTCTAAGTCAAGGATGGCCACAATTCAAACGTCCTGTTAACCTACAAAAATGTAGTTGTTTTCTCGCTATTATGGTATTTTTGTTAGTACTTAAAAATGGGGATCTTTTATTATTCTACGTAATTGATTTGAATTTTACTTTTATTTTAAATTTTGATTAGCATTTGCTGAAAAGTAATGAATTAATGCAATTAATTGTCTATCTTGATCAAGTGTTCTAATACCTTGTCAGGAGTGTCAATCTACCTGTACAAGTGATTAGAGATCATAAGCCAGATAAACCTCAAGGCTTTAAAACTGTCATCAGGAGGACCCTTTTGATTATCATTCAAAAGGGGTTATGCAGTTACATGCAATTGATTATAATTGCTAACAAAAATGGCGGCATCTAGCAAAAAGAAATAAATTTTGACTACACCTTTCAATCATAGTGTAGTTATTTAACAATTGGGGAGATCATTTGACGATGGCTGAAGATAATTTAACGGTTGCGATGCGCCATCATAAAACAGGTCATGGAGATCTCTGCACTTTTTTAAATACTTAAAAATATGGAAATATGATTTTGGCATTGTGTCCTGTGGACATGGCCCACACTTTCATATAATGTTATAAAGGGACATAACTCAAGAACGGTAAAAGTGACCCCACCAAAATTCGAACTTGATCTGAGGTGTGGTAAAAAGCATTGTGTTTAAGTTTCATAACATTTGGTTGAAGCAAACAAGTTAGAGAATGGAAACGAAAAAAGTCAGCTATTTTTCCATTTATAAAGGGGCACAACTCTAGAACACTAAAAAATACGCCACTCAAATTCGATCTTGATCCGTGTTTTGTGGTAATAGGCATTGTGTATAAGTTTCATGAAATTTGGTTTTTGCAAACTAAAGTTAGAGAACGGAAACTAATTTTGGGACGTACGTACAGACGGACAAACGGACAATGATAACACTTTAGGCCCCTCCAGTGATTGCGGGGCCATAAAAATACAGAGGGATGCTTAAAATATTAAGTGGAAAAAATGGAGTTTGTCAGTTCTCAAGGATGCAGGGATCCAGTTTACCTTAAAACATTCAAATGATGTCAGAAATCAACATAAAGTAAAAAAAAAAACAATTCTGGTAAAATAAAATAAATCAATTATATTACATAATGTAAGAACATATGCATGGTAATATAAAAAACAAAATGTATCAATTATGGCAGTATTTTATTAATCTTTTGAAACTATATAAGACATTCTTCATTGCAGGTCCCAATAAATGTAACAGAAATAATAACAGCCAATCATCCAGTAAAGATAGGTGTTTCTGATGCTTTCTATGTCGATGCTACTGTTAATGGTTTGTATTCACTTTTATACCTTTTCAATTCTCTCTCTCATGTATGTTCTTCACTTCTTCTTCTTTTTATGATATTTCAATGTAATTATTTTCTTTTCTTTTCTGTTGAGTTTGTTTCATTAAGTATAAGTTTAAGATTTACTTTTCATATAAATACTCTTGGCCATTCAAAAAATTTCAGTGGTTCAGTTTAGATTGGTGCCTTGTTTAATTTTCTGACAATTTGTTTTAGGTCAAAGATCTAGAAAAGGTTTGTTCTCCAGAATTACAATGATAAAACTTTATACACTACTAAGCAGCCAAATGTGAAATAAATATCTGCTGGTGTTATATAAAGATATGTTAGGAGGTTGTGGTTTATGGCAGGGTGTATACTTATGCAAATGTGAAATGTCAGAAATAGAGCTTTGCTACAATTAGGTTTGAGTTTTGTTCTTATGTTTCATTAATTTGAAAAGATAATTGAATGAAAATGCATATCATCTATCTGTATAATTAACAGTTGAAAAGAATGAAACAGAATACAAATATTCTGAATTAGAAGGTAATTACAGAGCATCATGTCCAGCATCATGTGAATTCTCAAGAAAATTAATTAGATAAGTTTGTTAATTTGATACAAAGAGAAAATTTTGCATCATTTTTTTGTGCATCATGACCTTTATTTATGATTTTAATTGCATGACATGATACATAACAAAAAGTAATGTAAGGAATTTGTAAAAGGATATACCTTTTTGTTATTCATAATAGTTTGTTGTCTCTGTAAAATTGAGTGAAATACTTGTAAAGTACTGTTCCAATGAAAACCTAAATATATGTCCTTGAGGAAGGAGGACAGGTAGATAGGTCTAGCTGTTTCCATTCAAAAACTTGAGAACTAAATCCATTGGATGTTGGATGTGTACTGATTGATATTTCAGTCTTAGATACATCATTTTTATACGACCCCAAAAAAATATTGGTATCACGTCGACGGCGTCGTTCGAAGACATTTGGTTTCCAGACAATAACTTTAGTTTAAGTGTATGGATCTCTGAAATTTAACCAAAAGGTTCAATACCACAAAAGGAAGGTTCAGGAAAAAAAAAATTTGTGGGGGGTCAATTTTTTTTCTCAAGATTTAAGAAATTGTCAATTTTCCAAAGAAAAAAATTGGGGGTCACAATTTATTTTGCTAATTCTTTGTATATAGTCTGAAAAAAACACATTTACTAAGTATTGTGCAACAGCACAGTGTATTGCACAACAGCAAGAAATCTTCAATTGAATATAAATTCAAATCATAAAATCACAAAAATTTTTGTGGTCGTATATTGGTATGACGTTGGCGTCGTCGTCGTCCGAATACGCATTAGTTTTCGCACTCTAACTTTAGTTTAAGTGAATGGATCTCTATGAAATTTTACCATAAGGTTCAATACAACAAAAGGAAGGTGGGGATTGATTTTGGGGGTTATGGTACCAACAGTTAAGGAATTAGGGGCCAAAAATAAGCATTTTCTAGTTTCCAGACAATAACTGTGGAACGGTGTATGGATCTCTCTGAAATTATACTACAAGTTTCCATACGACAAAGGGATGGTTAGGATTTGCTTTGAGGGGTTATGGCTCAAACCGTTTAAGAATTAGGGGCAAAAAAGGGGGGAAAACAAGGTTGTCCTGGTTAATGGACAAATAGTTTAGTACAAAACATAATTTAAAGCAGTGTAAGGGAGATAAATCAAATACATCATTGAAATTATCTCCCTTACACTGCTTTTAAATTATGTATAAAGTAATGGTTAATGAACAATTAAGATAATTTAAAACAGTGTAAGGGAGGTAATCCAAATACAACGTTTTGGTTACTTCCCTTACACTGCTTTTAAATTATGTTTAAAGAAATGCATATTTATAAAGGAAGACCAGTAAAAATATCTGCAAATGTTGCATCTTTTTTTTTTACAAAAAAATCCATATGAAAGATTTGACACTGTATTTTAAATTCTATTATAAAATAGATTAAGTTAGCACTATGGTAAATTTAAATGGGTAATTATGGTTTGGGGGAAAAAATGGGGGGGGGGGGGGGTAAAAAGAAATTGTGGGGGGTCAATTTTTTCTCATTTCAGATTTCAGAAATTAAAAAGAATTATTCTTCAAATATTTTTTTTTTTTCAAATTTCAAATATTGAAAAATTTCAAGAAGTAATCTTTAATTGCACAGTATGGCGCATTAGATTTGTAAAATCTTTGACCACATTTATTTATTTGTTATGCCGAATCTAACGATGTATTTAGATTTTTAATTTTGGATCCAGTTTTCAAATTGGTCTACATTAAGGTCCAAAGGGTCCAAAATTAAAATTTGTTTGATTTTAACAAAAATTGAATATATGGGGTTCTTTGATATGCTGAATCTAAACATGTATTTAGATTTTTGATTTTTGGCCCAGTTTTCAAGTTGGTCCAAATTGGGGTCCAAAATTAAACTTTGTTTGATTTCAACAAAAATTGAATATATGGGGTTCTTTGATATGCTGAATCTAACCATGTATTTAGATTTTTTATTTGTGGACCCTCGCTATCAAATTGGTTCATATTGAGGTCAAAAGGGTCCAAAATTAAACTTTGTTTGATTTCATCAAAAATTTAATTATTGGGGTTCTTTGATATGCCAAATCTAACCGTGTATTTAGATTTTTAATTTTGGGTCCCAGTTTTTTAAATTGGTCTACATTAAGGTCCAAAGGGTCCAAAATTAAACTTAGTTTGATTTTAACAAAAATTGAATTCTTGGGGTTCTTTGATATGCTGAATCTAAACATGTGTTTAGATTTTTGATTATGGGCCCAGTTTTCAAGTTGGTCCAAGTTGGGGTCCAAAATTAAACTTTGTTTGATTTCAACAAAAATTGAATATATGGGGTTCTTTGATATGCTGAATCTTACCATGTATTTAGATTTTTTATTTGTGGGCCCGCTATCAAATTGGTTCATATTGAGGTCAAAAGGGTCCAAAATTAAACTTTGTTTGATTTCATCAAAAATTTAATTATTGGGGTTCTTTGATATGCCAAATCTAACCGTGTATTTAGATTTTTAATTTTGGGTCCCGTTTTTTAAATTGGTCTACATTAAGGTCCAAAGGGTCCAAAATTAAACTTAGTTTGATTTTAACAAAAATTGAATTTTTGGGGTTCTTTGATATGCTGAATCTAAACATGTGTTTAGATTTTTGATTATGAGCCCAGTTTTCAAGTTGGTCCAAGAAAATTCAACTTTGTTTGATTTCAACAAAAATTGAATATATGGGGTTCTTTGATATGCTGAATCTAAACATGTATTTAGATTTTAGATTTTTGGCCAAGTTTTCAAGTTGGTCCAAATTGGGGTCCAAAATTAAACTTTGTTTGATTTCAACAAAAATTGAATATATGGGGTTCTTTGATATGCTGAATCTTACCTTGTATTTAGATTTTTTATTTGTGGGCCCGCTATCAAATTGGTTCATATTGAGGTCAAAAGGGTCCAAAATCAAACTTTGTTTGATTTCATCAAAAATTGAATGATTGGGGTTCTTTGATATGCCAAATCTAACCGTGTTTTTAGATTTTTAATTTTGGGTCCCGTTTTTTAAATTGGTCTACATTAAGGTCCAAAGGGTCCAAAATTAAACTTAGTTTGATTTTAACAAAAAATGAATTCTTGGGGTACTTTGATATGCTGAATCTAAACATGTGTTTAGATTTTTGATTATGGGACCAGTTTTCAAGTTTGTCCAAGTTGGGGTCCAAAATTAAACTTTGTTTGATTTCAACAAAAATTGAATAAATGGGGTTCTTTGATATGCTGAATCTAACCATGTATTTTGATTTTGGACATTGGACCATAATAGGTAAATTAAAAAAATTGAAGTTCTTAGACCACATTCTTTCTGTGTCAGAAACCTATGCTGTGTCAAATATTTAATCACAATCCAAATTCAGAGCTGTATCAAGCTTGAATGTTGTGTCCATACTTGCCCCAACTGTTCAGGGTTCGACCTCTGCGGTCGTATCAAGCTGCGCCCAGCGAAGCATTTTATTACAGTTTGTTCTTATGTTGTACTGTTACACCACTGTCCCAGGTTAGGGGAGGATTGAGCGCTCACAAACATGTTTAACCCCGCCTCATTCTTTATGTGCCTGTCCCAAGTCAGGAGCCTGTAGTTCAGTGGTTGTAGTTGGTTTATGTCTGTCATATTTGTTTTTTTCGTAAATTGTTTTGTTATAAATTAGACCGTTAGTTTTCTCAATTGAATTGTTTCATATTTTTCATGTCGGGGCTTTTGTAGCCGACCATACCGTATGGGTTTTTCTCATTGTTGAAGGCCGTATGGTTGCCTATAATTGCCAAACAGTGTCCGTTCATTAACATGAAAACACTTTGAAGAAATCTTTTCAAGTTTAGATATGTTGTTTCCTGTGACTAAATGAAGGTCAGTTTTAATTTCTACGATTTTAGCTTTTCTTGTTGTTGAGTTGTAGACCTTTCTGTAGCGAAAAGTGATATTTATTACATGATTTATTTTTATTTTGAGTTATTTCCCTTTGAACAGAAATGGTGTAATAAATAAGTATATGGATAGATAGTCTATCAATGATTGTATCTGTTCAATTTATTTTAGTCAGGAGTTGTCAAAAATTTCTTTATAACTATTTTTTTTAAGTCATGTGTGTTTTGAAGGTAGATGTGACAGTTGTTATGTGGTATTTTATTTTTGTTGGGTGTGTTAATGTTTAATTTTTACTTGATCCTGTTTCGGGGTCCAAATTTGCAAATATCATTTTCATTAGATAATAATCTATTTTTATTAAAGGATATATTTCATTACATTACATTGTGTAGATAAAGTTGTTGACATTGATAGATAAGTTGCAGATATTAGTTTGTGACAAACAAAAGAAAAAATATTGGTAACTATTAATTAGGGCCCCGCCTAATGGCGGGTCACCCTAAAGTGATCAGTCTGTCCGTAACAAATAGTGTCCGCTCTATAGCTAGAGAACTGTTGTACTTTATACTTGACATGTATATTAACCAACACCACAGGGTGTGTCATAATGTTTGTACAACTTCCTAGGTCAAAGGTCAAGGTCAAAAACTTCGGTATAAAATATAGAAATTTACTGTTCATTATTAGACATTTTGAAGATAATTACAGATAAGTTTTATAGATTTTTATAGATTTTTAAAAGACATTGTATTAATGATAAATGATATTTTGGAATTTTTTTTTTCTTTTCTTTGGTACATTGTTTGAAGAATTTTGTGGTAGGTTTGTTTGTTATTCTGAATGCTATATATATTATTTTTACTTGATCCTGTTTGGGGGTCCAGATTTGCAAATATCATTTTCATGCAGGAAAATCTGGTTTGCTTTCATTCTGACAGCCTCTTGTTTGTATTTTATTACTGATGACAAAATGGAGGTAAAATCCATATTGATGCCATTCAGGAATTATGGTCCTTGAGGTTGCAGTCTTGTAATTGACTGCTCCATAGGCTTAAATGCAAAACAGCTGAAACATCTTAAAAATAAAATGCTTCAAAGAAAATGTTTTTCATGTACATATCATATATGTAGTAATGTGAAATTGGGATTTAATGTAAAAAAAAGTGCCTGATGCCACAAAGAATAAAAAGTTATGAAACCCTGAAGTCAAAACTACTTTTTTCTACTTTCTGTTTGCTGTTTTCACTAGTCCGCACCACTTCCAGTAGAAATGAAATCCTTCCACTTTCCTGGTTTGATATCTCAAAAAAAGATGCTTCAATTTAGCATAAACTTTTAATCAAATAGAAAAAATTGAGTCCAGAAAAAAATTCAGAAAAAGATGGACTATTTTATTTCACTCGGACTCCATGTTTTGACATCGGAAACTGGAGTTGTAATACAAGTCTGGTACCTTGATTGATTGTAAAATTGTACATTATGTAGATTCTGTGTAATAACTTTATAACTCTTGATCCAATCCTTTTCAGATTTCAGTAATGTGTTGTTTCTCTCGAAAAAACGGAGGTCAATATTGGTTTTTGACAATTATCACTTTTGCTATCCATGAATTATGGCCATTGATTGCTTTAACAATGGCACTAATGAACAAAATCCTGGTTTACTAACATTTTGAAAGCCACTATTTTTTTAATATTTTAGTTCTCAGCTTACAACATTACAATAAAAAGTAGGATGAGAAATATTATTATTTTAAGAAACACATTATGTTTAAAAATAAAAAAAATAAAATTGGCTCTTTAAATTTTTGAAAGTATTTAAAAGTTTAAGGTATTTGTAACCCTGTGAAATAACTGTAGTGTGATAACATCACAAATGAAGCCTATAGTAAATTTATGGTTACTTTTACTATTTATGTAGAATTCACTCAATTTAAGAAAAAAGAAAAAAATGTTCCTAATACCAAGTAATCTTTCTTATATTTTGAGAATAGTTGGTTGCTTATGTGCATGAATTAGTGATGGCTGAGTAGTTTGCATGAAAAAAGAATGTGGGACAATGCTTATTGAACTGTTTGCATGATTTTTACAGACACATTTTTGTTTTATATAAGCTGGATTATTAAGTGTACATTGATTGTATATTTTCCATTATGAAACTTGCATAATTCAATGTATTATAGTTTTTGTTTATAAAGTTTCAGTTTATTTTGACTCCTCTTTGTCAAAGGGTGACATTATGTTTTAGTTGTATTACTTCTTTTTCTTATACTTCCTTGTTCAGGCCAAAACAATTTTTAACTTTTGACATTTGCTAATGATATTTGGCATGAAAGTGCATTACCATAAGATTGTGTGTGGCATATCATCATGACTATGTGACCTTGACATTTGACTTCATGGTTAATATATTTTTTTATATGTTTGTGTACTTAACATTTTTATCCTTTAACATAGGCTTTTGATATTAAGTGCATGCAAGATAATGTGTAGCGTTCCATTGAAGATGACCTCTGAACTTGATCTTTGACCTTCAAGGTCAAATAGTTGTTTGGTTTATGTCCATTCCTAAACTTTAAATATTCTTGCTTGCCATGACATGAACTTTTCAGTGCAACTAAGGGTTTGTCCTTAAGGTCATGCCCTGTCCCCTCATATAATAAATCCTTAGATATTACAAAAATAATTCAGATCCCACCCCTAAACCATATATAGTATTAATTTTCTGAACAAGGCCTACTTATATAAAAATAAGGAGATGAGGTATGATTGCCAATGAGACATCTATCCACCAGATTTCAAATAAAGTGGATGAAAACAATTATAGGCAATCGTATGGCCTTCAACAATGAGAAACCCCATACTGTATAGTCGGCTATAAAAGGCCCCAACATGAAAAATATGAAACAATTCTATTGAGAAAACTAACGGTTAATTTATAACAAAACAATAATGGAAAAACAAATATGACACGAACCAACGACAACCACTGAACTACAGGCTCCTGACATGGGACAGGCACATAAAGAATTTAGTTCACTATAGGATTTGTCCCTGGGGGACATCCCTTTCCATCAGTACATCATTGATTGTTAAATATCTTGAAAACTGTTTGTATCCCCATCCTTAAACCTTATATATTTGTTATTGTCATGACAAGACCTTCACAGTTCACCACAAATTTTTTTTTGGAGGGGTTATGCCCCTATCCATTAAATTTTTAATTGTTATAATTATCAAAATGTGTTTAGATCTACACCCATAAACTCTATATATTGTGAACTGCCATAACAAGACTTTTCAGCTCACCATAGATTTGTTTCATACCACTCATCAAAAATGTTGGAATAAATTGTAGATAAGATAACCAACCATTTACCATATACATATGTTTTCTTATTATACCCTAACTCTAACAGTTTGGGCTATACTGCATTCACCTTGTCCTTCCATCTATTCATCTGTCTGTTTCTTCAACAATAAAAAAAACACTTGACAGGGATGAGTTGTATTGATTGACCACTTTCCAAATCTTCTACGCATCCACTTCTTGTTAGCCTATATTTTTGATACAGCCATACTGGATCTATAGGATCACTCCGGATTTTAAGATTGTGCAGAATTCTGATTTTCAGACATATCATGAAACTTATAATATGTTTTATGACTTGAAGAAAGGTTATATACCATTTTAGTAATGACTTTCATATTTTGTAAGCAGATAAGCAGTTGTAATGTGTGAACACTTTTTGATTCTGTCAGACACCTTTTCTTGTTTGCCAATACCTTGAGTTTCAACATGTTGAATACAATTAAGATTTTTGTCACACTTTTAATTAGAACTATTGAAAAAAAATTAATTGAGATTTTGTCAGCTCCTTGGAGTGATGAGTTGTAAAGTGTGAAAACTTTTGGATCTGTCAGACAGTCTGTTTGTCCATACTTCGAATATCAATATTTGGAATCAAATCAAAAAATTTTAATCACACTTTTCGCAAGTACTACTGAGCAGAATAACTTCATATTTTGTCAGCAGCTTGGCAGATATGAGCTGTAACATGTAAGCCCTGTTTTGAATCTGTCATATGGTCCTGTTTTCCTAGACTTTGAATTATGAATGAGAGTATGCTTAGCATGAAAACGCATGCATTCTTGTTTGCCAAGATAATACCTTTGTAGTACTAGAATGTGTTTGGCAAGATAATACCTTTTTAGTACTAGAATGTGTTTGCCAAGATTATACCTTTTTAGTACTAGAATGTGTTTGCCAAGATAATACCTTTTAAGTACTAGAATGTGTTTGCCAAGATTATACCTTTTTAGTACTAGAATGTGTTTGCCAAGATTATACCTTTTTAGTACTAGAATGTGTTTGCCAAGATTATACCTTTTTAGTACTAGAATGTGTTTGCCAAGATAATACCTTTTTAGTACTAGAATGTGTTTGCCAAGATAATACCTTTTTAGTACTAGAATGTATTTGCCAAGATAATACCTTTTTAGTACTAGAATGTGTTTGCCAAGATAATACCTTTTTAGTACTAGAATGTGTTTGCCAAGATAATACCTTTTTAGTACTAGAATGTGTTTGCCAAGATAATACCTTTTTAGTACTAGAATGTGTTTGCCAAGATAATACCTTTTCAGTACTAGAATGTGTTTGCCAAGATAATACCTTTTCAGTACTAGAATGTGTTTGCCAAGATAATACCTTTTCAGTACTAGAATGTGTTTGCCAAGATAATACCTTTTCAGTACTAGAATGTGTTTGCCAAGATAATACCTTTTCAGTACTAGAATGTGTTTGCCAAGATAATACCTTTTCAGTACTAGAATGTGTTTGCCAAGATAATACCTTTTCAGTACTAGAATGTGTTTGCCAAGATAATACCTTTTTAGTACTAGAATGTGTTTGTCAAGATAATACCTTTTTAGTACTAGAATGTGTTTGTTTTGCCTTTATCTTTACTGGAGTGACATCTAGAGAAGAAGGTGAGACGTAAGTTTACGTCCACTTAAACAGATCCACCTAGTTTAAATTTGGATTCCATGAAAATTTATCCTATTCCATTAAGGGTTAAGGAAGATTCAAAGAACAAATCTGTTAATACTTTAGCACAAGGAAAATAAAAAAGCTTTATGATAAAAGATAGCATTATTGAAAAATGTGAATACAATCTTATAAGATATTGAGATTTGAATACATGTTTCTGTATCATATTACATGATTGGTTTTTATGTCCTGCTTTTGCCAAGATGTTGGCCACATAGATTAAACCTTGTTCACATATTTATTTGGTTGTATATCTAGATTTGGTACATTTAAGCAAATAAGTCTATTTTTACAAACTTATTATAAAGTGTGAATGATGATTTGTACAGTAAAAAGCTGATAATCAATATTTGGATCACAGTGACCTATATTTCATGCTTTTGTGACTTTAGTTTAGTTTGATGTTTACAGCCATTTTTTATCAATGTCATTGTGTACTTGTAAAGTTAAAGCTTTTCAGCAAAACTTTTATCATTTCTTAATTACATTTCATGCTTGAGTTACTTGTGAAGTTTTTAACTCTGATCCATTTCTGAGAATTTGCAATAACTTATCAATTATAGTTGACCACTATAGTCTAGCTGTAATGCTATTTTGGTGACTGTTGTCAATATAAGTTTATTTCCTGGCAGACTAATCATCTATTTTACTTTTACTCTCAGTTGTTAAGCAGTATCATCCTTTAGGATATTCACCATGGGCTGACATTAAGGATGTTTGCTACTCTTGTTTTTGACTTTTTTGTCAGATATTCGGAATCCTCTAGTTTTATCCATGTATTGCCAATAAAAAAAATTCCCGCTAACCCCTACTTTTCTGTTCATAATTTTAATACATGTAGTTTGACAAGCCATTAATGAAAATCTTATAAAATCCTTGTTATTTTTTCATAGTTTTTGAAAGAAAAAAGGTGCCAATGTTAAATGTATGAAAAATCTAGAGAGAATCTTGTTATTTTTAAACAGAGGAGCGAACATCCTTAAAGTTAATAATCCTTGTAATTTTGTAGTTATCTAAGAAATTTGCTATTGTTTTCCAGGTATAACAAGGAGAACTATTTATGAATACCACAGAGTAGAAGTGAACTTGACACTAATTGAGGAAAATACAGTTGTTCTACTAGAGCCATTACTAAGTAAGTATAAAAGAATTTATTGTGGTACAATTTAGATAAAGTATTTTGTTGTGACAGATAGTTGAAAAAGGATCCATTTTTAGCTCACCTGACCCGAAGGGTCAAGTGAGCTTTTCTCATCACTTGGCGTCCGTCGTCGTCGTCCGTCGTCGTTAGCTTTTTACAAAAATCTTCTCCTCTGAAACCACTGGGCCAAATTTAACCAAACATGGCCACAATCATCATTAGGGTATCTAGTTTAAAAAATGTGTCCGATGACCCCACCAACCAACCAAGATGGCCGCCATGGCTAAAAATAGAACATAGGGGTAAAATGTAGATTTTGGCTTATATCTCTGAAACCAAAGCATTTAGAGTAAATCTGACATGGGTAAAACTGATTATCAGATCAAGATCTATCTGCCCTGAAATTTTCAGACAAATCTGACAACCTGTTGTTGGGTTGCTGCCCCTGAATTGGTAATTTTAAGGAAATTTTGCAGTTTTTGGTTATTATCTTGAATATTATTATAGATAGAGATAAACTGTAAACAGCAATAATGTTCAGCAAAGTAAGATCTACAAATAAGTTGTTATGACCAAAATTGTCAGTCGACCCCTTTAGGAGTTATTGCCCTTAATAGTCAATTTTTAACAATTTTTCGTAAATTTTTGTAATCTTTTACAAAAATCTCCTTCTCTGAAACTACTGAGACAAATTTAACCATACTTGGCCATAATCATTATTAAGGTATCTAGTTTAAAAAATTTGTCCGATGAACCCGCCTTCCAACCATCATGGCCAACTTAATTAAAGATAGAACATAGGGGTAAAATGCAGTTTTTGGTTTATATCTCTGAAACTAAAGCATTTAGAGCAAATCTGACAGGTGGCAAAACTGTTCATCAGATTTAGATTTATCTGCCCTGAAATTTTCAGACAAATCTGACGACCCGTTGTTGGGTTGCTGCCCCTGAGTTAGTAATTTTACAAAAATTTTGCAGTTTTTATACGACCGCAAAAATTAAAAATTTTTTGGTCGTATATTGGTATGACGTTGGCGTCGTCGTCGTCGTCGTCGTCGTCGTCTGGCGTCGTCCGGCGTCGTCCGAAGACACATTGGTTTTCGCACTCTAACTTTAGTTTAAGTGAATGGATCTCCATGAAATTTTACCATAAGGTTCTATACCACGAAAGGGAGGTTGGGATTGATTTTGGGGGTTATGGTACCAACAGTTAAAGAATTAGGGGCCAAAAAGGGGCCAAAAATAAGCATTTTTGTAACTTCCAGACAATAACTTGTGTGTAAGTGTATGGATCTCTCTGACATTGTACCACAAGGTTCCATATCACAAAGGGAAGGCTGTTATTGATTTTGGGGGTAATTGCCTCAAAATTTTAGGAATTAGGGGCCACAAAAGGGGCAAAAAACAAGCATTTTTCTAGTTTCCAGACAATAACTTGTGTTCAAGTGTATGGATCTCTCTGAAATTGTACTGCAAGGTACCATACCACAAAGGGAAGGCTGGGATTGAGTTTGGGGGTGATGAATCATAAGGGGGTTAAAAAAAATTTTGGGGGGGGGGGATTTTTTTTTTTTTTCTTTTTTTTTCTTTTTTTCCTTTTTTTTTCTTTTAAAATTTTCCATTTTAAGTTGGTTATTTCTGATTTATATTTAAAAGCAAATAATAATGAAATGGTAGGAGATGCACACCAAACAGAATGTGTAAATTATTATATAATAAGTATTGTGCAATAGCAAGAAATTTTCAATTGCACAGTATTGCACAATAGCAAGAAATGTTCAATTGCACAGTATTGCACAATAGCAAGAAATCTCCAATTGCACAGTATTGCGCAATAGCAAGAAATATCCAATAACACAATATTGCACAATAGCAAGAAATTGTCAATTGTACAGTATTGCGCAATAGCAAGAAATATTCAATTGCACAGTATTGTGCAAAAGAAGATACTTCGTATAAATTGCTTATTTCTTGATCAATTTCAATAGGGTTTTATTCTTGAATTCTTGGGGTTCTTTAATATGCTGAATCTAACCGTGTATTAAGTTTTTGGATTTTGGGCCCCGTTTTTAAATTGGTCCACATTGAGGTCCAAAGGGTCCAAAATTTAACTTTGTTTGATTTCATCAGAAATTGAATTATTGGGGTTCTTTGATATGCCGAATCTAACCGTGTATTTAGATTCTTAATTTTTGGTTCCGTTTTCAAATTGGTCTACATTAAGGTCCAAAGGGTCCAAAATTAAACTTTGTTTGATTTTAACAAAAATTGAATTCTTAGGGTTCTCTGATATGCTGAATCTAAACATGTATTTAGATTTTTGATTATGGGCCCAGTTTTCAAGTTGGTCCAAATCGGGGTCCAAAATTAAACTTTGTTTGATTTCAACAAAAATTGAATATATGGGGTTCTTTGATATGCTGAATCTAACCATGTATTTAGATTTTTGATTATGGGCTCAGTTTTCAAGTTGGTCCAAATCGGGGTCCAAAATTAAACTGTGTTTGATTTCAATAAAAATTGAATATATGGGGTTCTTTGATATGCTGAATCTAACCATGTATTTAGATATTGATTTTTGGGCCCTGTTATCAACTTTGTCCACATTGAGGTCAAAAGGGTCCAAAATAAAACTTTGTTTGATTTCAACAAAAATTGAATATATGGGGTTCTTTGATATGCTGAATCTAACCATGTATTTAGATTTTTGATTATGGGCCCAGTTTTCAAGTTGGTCCAAATCGGGGTCCAAAATTAAACTTTGTTTGATTTCAACAAAAATTGAATATATGGGGTTCTTTGATATGCTGAATCTAACCATGTATTTAGATTTTTGATTATGGGCCCAGTTTTCAAGTTGGTCCAAATCGGGGTCCAAAATTAAACTTTGTTTGATTTCAACAAAAATTGAATATATGGGGTTCTTTGATATGCTGAATCTAACCATGTATTTAGATTTTTGATTATGGGCCCAGTTTTCAAGTTGGTCCAAATCGGGGTCCAAAATTAAACTTTGTTTGATTTCACATAATTGAATTATTGGGGTTCTTTGATATGCCGAATCTAACCGTGTATTTAGATTCTTAATTTTTGGTTCCGTTTTCAAATTGGTCTACATTAAGGTCCAAAGGGTCCAAAATTAAACTTTGTTTGATTTTAACAAAAATTGAATTCTTAGTGTTCTTTGAATGCTGAATCTAAACATGTATTTAGATTTTTGATTATGGGCCCAGTTTTCAAGTTGGTCCAAATCGGGGTCCAAAATTAAACTTTGTTTGATTTCAACAAAAATTGAATATATGGGGTTCTTTGATATGCTGAATCTAACCATGTATTTAGATTTTTGATTTTTGGACCCTGTTATCAACTTTGTCCACATTGAGGTCAAAAGGGTCCAAAATTAAACTTTGTTTGATTTCATCAAAAATTTAATTCTTGGGGGTTCATTAATATGCTGAATCTAACCATGTATTTAGATTTTGTATATTGGACCATAATAGGTGAATGTCCAATTTAAAATTTTTAAGTTCTTAGACCACATTCATTCTGTGTCAGAAACCTATGCTGTGTCAAATATTTAATCACAATCCAAATTCAGAGCTGTATCAAGCTTGAATGTTGTGTCCATACTTGCCCCAACTGTTCAGGGTTCAACCTCTGCGGTCGTATCAAGCTGCGCCCTGCGGAGCATTTTATTTGTTATTTGTTATTATCTTAGATATCATTATAATATCTAATATCTAATACTATTAATTATGATTTTAACCTTATTTTACATGATTTCCAAAGCATCAGTAAATACAGGTGAGCGACACAGGCTCTTGAGAGCCTCTAGTTATGTCTTAATTCTAAAAATAATACTTCCAATTCAGTTCATATTATCTTACAAAAATATATCATTATTATTGGTAAAATATTGTGCGTTACTTCACTTCTCATCACAACTCTTCTGCTGTATAGAAAAAACACATCACAAATCAGGAATAGTATAATTCAAAATTCCATATACAAACACCATACAAGGATGAGTTAGTGGAACTTATTATATTGGTTGCGATATAATACTATGGTTTCCAAGTAAAAAAAAACAACATATTTCTCATATTAGATAAATCCTGTATAATATTTATGTCAATATGTCAACAAATTTGCATTCAGCGAGGTGAAATTACATAGAAAAACTTTAATTTACTTGCATATTCTACTTTATTCGTATTAAAAGTCAAAATACATGTAATATTACTGTAACCTGACTGTTAGTGTTGCTCTCCACCTATTGCAGTTTATTCAAAATTCTGACCAAATTGCAATTTATTTTATCATACCAAACTGTTCAACTGGTCACAAATTTTAACAAACTGCTGAAGAAAAACACAGTCAAGTGGTGAAAGTGCTAAGTGATAAAATAAAGCATACTTACAATCCTATAAGACTTTAAATCCACTTCAATGTTATTATGAAAAATCTGTCTAACAATTTCTATACAGATTTTATTGTAATTGTCATGCTAAAGGTGATAGGTAGTAATTTTTGAATTGCTAAAATTATGTCCAAATTTAAGTTTTTGAAATATTTCTAATAAAATGGTGTTTTTCTATGAATGCTACAAAGCTTTCTTTGAATTAATCTCTAAATACTTGGTTTAATGTATTTGAAGCTTGAATATATTCTCTTGAAGTTTTAAAGGGAGATAAGATCAATATTTTAAAAGATCCATGCTTTTTAAATTATCTCCCATGGAAACTTATTAAAAATGTATTGTAATTTCACATATATTTTACTGAAAATAAGATGTTTTAATTCAAATGATGTCTGAACCTTATGAATATAGAAGACTTTTCGAAAGAAAAATTGTATGAAAGTTAGTTTGGACATTTTTATTGCAATTCAAAAATTACTGCCTATCACCTTTAGCATGACAATTACAATACAATTTGTATAGAAATTGTTAGACAGATTTTTCATAATATCAAAGAAGTGGAATTAAAGTCTTATAGAAATTAAAGATAAAAAAAAAAGTCTTATAGGATTGTAAGTATGTGTTATTTTATCACCTAGCACTTTCACCACTTGACTCTGTTTTTCTACAGCAGTTTGTTAAAATTTGTGACCAGTTGAACAGTTTGGTATGTTAAAATACATTGCAATTTGCTCAGAATTTTATATAAACTGCAATAGGTGGAGAGCAACACCTATAGTCAAGTCACAGTAATAAAAAAAGAATATCTAGTTTAAGAGATCAAATATCAAAAATAAATTTCTACTCATGACCAAATGATACTCATAATTCACTCATGGGCTATTCCAAATTATGAATATATGTGTTCTTCAGTTAGTAATAGAAATTTGTTTTTGTCATTTGAATTTTTGGATTTGTATCAGGTCTTGGCATTTAAAAAGAAATGGCTAATTAATATGCATCACTGAATATAAAGCAACCTGCATGTGGTACTGTTAATCTTTTTTTTCTGCTTTTAAGCATGTAACATAGCAAATGATTGTGAAACCTGTATACAACAGAATTCTAATTTTGAATGTAAATGGTGCGCTGCTATTAGTCGATGTTCTGATGGTATAGATTGGCACAGACAGGAATGGATGAAAGCTGGATGTACATCTTTAGTAAGTATCACATATTCTCAGCCATTACATTATTGCAAGTTGTATATTTTTTTTCTTCAAAGAACAGAAATGAATACTTATTTAACTTATTATGCTTAATTAACTATTATCATTCTAACAGATGATTAGATTCATATGTTGACTACAGCCTAGAAAGGTTATTCAATGAGTTGATCTATAGTTTTAATTTCCATGACATATTTTTAGTAATTCTGCATGTGATAAATGAGGAGCATGTGGTCAGGGAATTTAGCCTCTTTGAAAAGTGATTTCATTGTTGGGTGAAGGCAGCAGCTCACATTTTCTAGAAAGAAATTTCAGTTATGCTGTGATCTTACAGTGCATATAAGGATAAGCAATGTTCATTTAATATGGTCACTATTTACAAAATGTTTTTTGATAAGGAAAACATCTTATCATGTCAGAAACAAGTTGATGAAAATTTTTCCTTATTAAAAAATAATCTTTTTGTAATTAGATGACTGTTTTCTGCTGTATTGACTATTAATATAAATTGCTGTCTTCACTAATAGTCACGCTTTCAATTAAGCTGCATTAAGAATGTTTAAAGTTTTGTTGATACAGTGAAGTTTGTTTCAAAGAACTGAATCACTACTAGATGAAATATTTTAAGAAATGCTGAACAAATACTGAAATTTAGCCAGAAAAACTCTTTTAACTTCATTTCAAGTAAAGATTTTTTTTTACAATTTAAATATTTGATCTTTTACAGTTAGTTTTAGCTTTAACAATTTTACAGTTCCTTCTTAGAAATCATCTGACTTAAGTTTGTTCATTTTTGTCTTCCTAGGAAATTGAAATACTGCAACTGTGAATTTTTCTATCTTGAAGGGAGATAACTCTTGGCACAGAGTTTTTAAAATTAATTAGTATAACCCTGTGTTTTATCAGCTATGAAAAGATGATGCAAAATACTTCAAAAAATCTGATTCAGAAGTTTTAAATTTAGGGAATTTATTTTAGATCAAAGACAAATGCCCTCATTTATAATTTAAGAATAAGGGTAATTTCTACCTTCTTACACACAATGAAAAAGACAACTAGACCTAAAGTTAATACATTTATTAATTAAGCACTACCGTATGTATTTTATATACACATTACAAGAAATTTCAACCAGACTATAATCCCACTAAATTTTTTTTTTTTTTCTTTGTAAAATAGGATAGGTTTTAATGTTGATGACCAGTTGGTAAAAACAAATATTTTCTAAAGAATGCTTGGTTATGAAGGTTTTGTTTGTAGAAGGCAGAACTCATGCTTAGCCATCTTATGTTATATAAAGTGTGCCATTCCATTGGAGGAACACTCAAAATTTAGTAAATTTACAATTGATAAATAGTTTTGTACAGTTAAGTATAATAATTAATGAGTGAACCTGTTCTTTGAAACTCACTTCATATGTGTGGTAGTAGATTAACATCTTCCTTAACATATTTTATGTTCTTTATATATGTTGTGACATCGTTGATTTTCTTTAGGCACATGACACTGTCAGTCGCTGTAATGAAATATATACTACTACCACAAAGAAACCTACTGTTACAACCTGTGACCCAATGGTAAAATTGTAGCGAGCTAGGCATTTTTCAGACCTAGCTGTGTGTATAACTCTCTGTCTCTCACTGCTGACCTTTGTTTTATAGCTAATCTTAAGTTAATTTTATGCACTACTGGAAGTCTCCATCTGACTCAAAGAGTCCCAATAGTATTCTGATAATAGCAAGTGCTTGTCTTCATGATTTTTCTTTTTTTGGCTGCTTCTATGCAATGACAAGTACATGTGTTCTCTCTTTCTCTAGTATTATGTATTTAAGTCTCTACAGAAATCATCTAAAGTAAAGACAAACTTATTTTAATTGATTGATTGGTGTTTAATGCCACTTTCAGCACTATTGTGCTATTTCGTGGTGGTCAGTTTGTAATGGTGGAGGATGCCGGAGTGCCCAGGGAGATGCACTGATCTTAGGTAGGAAAGCTGACACAATCCTAGTCAATTTTATTAAGATTAGAGTCTAACTCACCTGCCTATTTGTATATTAGTATGTTGTTTCAACATATAGTAAACATGGATGTTAAAAAAGTGTAGTTATACATATTGATTTATTTTTGATTTGCATAGCATTTGTCAATGACAAAACAAGCTATATTTTTTTGTAACTTATTGGATGGCAAGAAGGAAAGACCTCTTAAGAGAAGTTAATATACTTAGGTTTGTTTGACATGACGCTTTGGATTATATGTCCATCCTCTTTACCCAGAACTGATTAGTTAATCCATCCTAACAGAAGCTTAAGCAGCCAGGCCTTACTATACCTCAGCTACCATTGGAGTTTTAAATTATTAGTATATAAACTACAATCTGTTAATATACAGATCATGTGTGCATGCATGCTTACAAGGATCTGACAACACTCATTCTACTTTCTGTTCTGGTAGTTATTATATCAGCCAATGAAATTTCTGCCTTCAATTTGTTGATGGTGTGTATCATTTTGAAAAAAACAGAGGATCTTGAAAGGTCTTTTAAACAGAAAGTAGAACAGAGCTTTGTCAGATCCTTGTAAGCGAAGTATGAACACAGGATCTATATTTCAATCAGATTGTTAATGCTACAAAGTGTGTATGCATTTTTCTTTTGGTTTAAATTTATTTTTTTCTACATTGCACCCTATAATCTAGCAAAATCTGAGCAAATGTTACTATCTTGTATAAAAATATAAATAAATATGTTGTTTCTTCAAGCAATGTATTGATGTAGTTGAATAGCTTGATATTACAATGTATATTAAAAAAATTCTTATTCAAACGGACAAAAATATGGACCAAGTTAGTTCTACTCAGATTTTGCTATGTTTAATGCATGGATTTAGTATAGTATATTTACTGCATGTTATTTAGGCTAGTGAAAAATGTGCCAAGTCTCCTCCTACAACACTATCTACAAGGACTACAAACAAGTCAACTATTACAATAACTTCAACAACTACTGTTGCAACAACACTGACTACTGTTTCAACAAAACCAACTTCTACTTCACTGAAACATTCACCATTACCAAGAACTACTAGCTCTGTGGCATCTTCTGAGCAAGTTGCTGCAATTTGTGACAGTTCATCGGTATTTTAATTGCAATGAGGATGTCATTGATGCCCCATTTCGGCACCAGTTTTTATTAAAGGTCGCATTTCCTTTTTATCGTTATTTTTGCATGCATTATTTGTAAAGGAGTGGTTTTTTATGCCTTTTCTATAATAGTGGAGGGACGTTATTTTGTCTATCCATTTATCCCATACCAGGTTAAAGTTTTTGGTTAAGGGAGTTTACCATGAAGTTTGTGGTCACCTCAATCTGAAAGTTAGGATACATGAACATCGTGGTGTAACCATTTATACTATATACCAAATTAGAGTTTTGATCCCGATTTTATGTTTCACTGAACATAGAAATGTGATAGCGTGAAATTAGTACATTCTTATGTTAAAGTTTTTGGTTACAGTAATTTACCATGACATTTTGGTCACATCAGCTTGAAAATTAGTACACATGTTCATTGTGAGTTGAACTTTGTAGATTGTATCTCAAATTACGTTTGACCTGGATTACTCAGCTCACTGAACATGGACATAGGATATGCCGGTTCTTGTTTTTCATCAGGTGTTTCCTTTTTAAGTTTTGCATGTCATTTGCTATAAGTTTTAAAGTCTTTATATTTACTTGCAGTTTAGTGTAATAACGATATAGACATTTATGTTCTCAAATCATTTATATTCTTGATTTTAAAGACTTTGTTTCTAGAATGATTGATGGATGTTTTTAATTTGCATACTGGCTTATATAAAACAATATAAAAAGGCTATTTCAGTAAGAAATTAAATTTGCAAAAGCTGTGGAGCCAATATGGTAAATCAATGGCAACCCTTTGAATTCAGTTAAATTTGAATTTCCTTAGCGGGAGAGGGAACTTTTTTACATTAAATTTTGTATTTATATTATTCATTTGTTTATTTGGGTGCACATATGTAGAATATAAGCCACAAGTTTTTGAATTTAAGGCCTATGGTAAAAAGGAAATAGCCATAATTTTGTGGGAGTGGAAATTTAATCAATTACTCATGTTTTTTACCAAAAGCATCTTAGTGTATAATATTCCCCTTGTAATATATATTGCATGTTTACTATTATAGTATTTTGAATCAACTGAAAATGGACAAGCATCTTTTTATTATCAATGGTAAAACATTGAAGATTGTATATATTTGATTTAGAAATATTCTATATCACAGAAAATGACGCCTTTTGTAAAATTTACGAAACTTCATGTAAAGTATACAATATACCTAGCCATGTACATTTTATCTGCCAGTACATTAAAAAAATTAGGCTGCAGATGGGGTATTTGTGTCATAACAATACATCTTGTTTCATATTAAGTAGTTCAAGAATATCTTAAAAATTGTTTGAATCAATTAATGATATAATTGCCTCCTTTGACACCCTTATGTTTCAAAAGTTTGGAGCACTCATATTTTGTAAATATGTCATAGCTATCAATATGTAGATACCAGTTGTTGGGTGGTTGTCTCTTTGAATTGAAGCCCACAGTTTCTCTTTATCATACCAGTAATTGATCCTAAAATGCAGTATGATTTGAGTGTGGTTTTAACTAGCACTTATTAAACTATAATATATATTACTTTTTGTGTTCTTCTGGTATTGGAGGTCCTTAAATCATAGTTTATTAATATATTATTTTTTAGAATATTTAGATTGTTATCTTTCATTCAATACTTTAGTACTTTAAACTATAACTGGTAATAAAAAATTAACAAGAGAAAATGAAAAGTAAAAAAAGTTAAATATATAGTATGTAAAATTTATTTACTGTCCTTATTTTTTTTTCTACATATTCTGTAGAAAACACAAGAATAAAAGTGATGAAATTGTTTGGTTTTTGTTCTACACTACAAGCTGAGAAACATCTGTATACTAATGTGACTTTGTGATACAATAACGTACTATTAGTTATCTTAATAAAGAAACTTCAATGTCTACAAACTTTTGTTTTCAGATCAGCAGTGGAAAGGGAAGTTGTAATGAAATGAAGAAAGAAAAAAGTAAGTATTTCATTAATCAGATATGTCATCATTCATGACGTTGTTGTGTCACAGTACTCTCCTAACACAGTATAATTAGTGAGCAATAGTTTATAGTGTATTGTTGATGCATCATTCATGTCATTGTTGTTGTGTCACAGTACTCTACTAACAGAGTATAATTAGTGAGCAATAGTGTATAGTTGATGCATCATTCATGTCATTGTTGTTGTGTCACAGTTCTCTACTAACAGAGTATAATTAGTGAGCAATAGTTTATAGTGTATAGTTGATGCATCATTCATGACATTGTTGTTGTGTCACAGTACTCTACTAACAGAGTATAATTAGTGAGCAATAGCTTAAATTTGGTGACTATGTTGAACAAATCTATCCCATCGAACTAGAGATAAAGGATACTACAGATACAGTTAAGTCTGCCTCATATCTTGACTTACATCTAGAAATTGACAATGAGGGTCAGTTGAAAACAAAACTTTACGACAAAAGAGATGATTTCAGCTTCCCAATTGTGAACTTTCCATTTCTATGTAGCAACATTCCAGCAGCGCCTGCATACAGAGTATATATCACCCAATTGATACGATATTCCCGGGCTTGTGTTTCCTATCATGATTTCCTTGATAGAGGATTGCTGCTCACAAGGAAGCTATTAAGCCAAGAGTTCCAAATGGTGAAGTTGAAATCATCCCTTCGTAAATTTTACGGACGCCATTACGAGTTGGTTGACTGTTATGGAATAACCGTTTCACAGATGATATCGGATATGTTCCTTATGTCGTAACTACAATACTTTTCCCTTTTCACAAATGTGACTTACCGAATTAGACTATTTACCGGATTTGTAATAACATAAGCAACACGACGGGTGCCACATGTGGAGCAGGATCTGCTTACCCTTCCAGAGCACCTGAGATCACCCCCAGTTTTTGGTGGGGTTCCTGTTGCTTAGTCTTTAGTTTTCTATGTTGTGTCATCTGTACTATTATTTGTCTGTTTGTCTTTTTATTTTTGGCCATGGCGTTGTCAGTTTTTTTTTTATCTATGAGCTTGACTGTCCCTCTGGTATCTTTCGTCCCTCTTTTATAGTGTATACTTGATGCATCATTCATGACATTGCTGTTGAGTCACAGTACTCTACTAACAGAGTATAGTTAGTGAGCAATAGCTTATAGTGTTTTGTTGATGCATCATTCTACTCTACTAACACAGTATAATTAGTGAGCAATAGTTTATAGTGTATTGTTGATGCATCATTCATGACATTGTTGTTGAGTCACAGTACTCTACTAACAGAGTATAATTAGTGAGCAATAGTTTATAGTGTATTGTTGATGCATCATTCATGTCATTGTTGTTGAGTCACAGTACTCTACTAACAGAGTATAATTAGTGAGCAATAGCTTATAGTGTATTGTTGATGCATCATTCATGACATTGTTGTTGAGTCACAGTACTCTACTAACAGAGTATAATTAGTGAGCAATAGCTTATAGTGTATTTTTGATGCATCATTCATGACATTGTTGTTGAGTCACAGTACTCTACTAACAGAGTATAATTAGTGAGCAATAGCTTATAGTGTATTGTTGATGCATCATTCATGACATTGTTGTTGAGTCATGGTACTCTACTAACACAGTATAATTAGTGAGCAATAGTTTATAGTGTATTGTTGATGCATCATTCATGACATTGTTGTTGAGTCACAGTACTCTACTAACAAAGTATAATTAGTGAGCAATAGTTCATAGTGTATTGTTGATGCATCATTCATGACATTGTTGTTGTGTCACAGTACTCTACTAACAGAGTATAGTTAGTGAGCAATAGCTTATACATTGTAGTGTATTGTTGATGCATCATTCATGACATTGTTGTTGAGTCACAGTACTCTACTAACAGAGTATAATAAGTGAGCACTAGTTTATAGTGTATTGTTGATGCATCATTCATGTCATTGTTGTTGTGTCACAGTACTCTACTAACACAGTATAATTAGTGAGCAATAGTTTATAGTGTATTGTTGATGCATCATTCATGACATTGTTGTTGTGTCACAGTACTCTACTAACAGAGTATAATTAGTGAGCAATAGTTTATAGTGTATTGTTGATGCATCATTCATGACATTGTTGTTGAGTCACAGTACTCTACTAACAGAGTATAATTAGTGAGTTATAGTTTATAGTGTATTGTTGATGCATCATTCATGACATTGTTGTTGAGCCATATTACTCTACTAACAGAGTATAATTAGTGAGCAATAGTTTATAGTGTATTGTTGATGCATCATTCATGACATTGTTGTTGAGTCATAGTACTCTACTAACAGAGTATAATTAGTGAGCAATAGTTTATAGTGTATTGTTGATGCATCATTCATGACATTGTTGTTGTGTCACAGTACTCTACTAACAGAGTATAATTAGTGAGCAATAGCTTATAGTGTATTGTTGATGCATCATTCATGACATTGTTGTTGTGTCACAGTACTCTACTAACAGAGTATAATTAGTGAGCAATAGCTTATAGTGTATTGTTGATGCATCATTCATGACATTGTTGTTGTGTCCCAGTACTCTACTAACAGAGTATAATTAGTGAGTTATAGTTTATAGTGTATTGTTGATGCATCATTCATGACATTGTTGTTGAGTCACAGTACTCTACTAACAGAGTATAATTAGTGAGCAATAGTTTGTAGTGTATAGTTGATGCATCATTCATGACATTGTTGTTGAGTCACAGTACTCTACTAACAGAGTATAATTAGTGAGCAATAGTTTATAGTGTATTGTTGATGCATCATTCATGTCATTGTTGTTGTGTCACAGTACTCTACTAACAGAGTATAATTAGTGAGCAATAGTTTATAGTGTATTGTTGATGCATCATTCATGACATTGTTGTTGAGTCACAGTACTCTACTAACAGAGTATAATTAGTGAGCAATAGTTTATAGTGTATTGTTGATGCATCATTCATGACATTGTTGTTGAGTCATATTACTCTACTAACAGAGTATAATTAGTGAGCAATAGTTTATAGTGTATTGTTGATGCATCATTCATGACATTGTTGTTGAGTCACAGTACTCTACTAACAGAGTATAATTAGTGAGCAATAGTTTATAGTGTATTGTTGATGCATCATTCATGACATTGTTGTTGTGTCCCAGTACTCTACTAACAGAGTATAATTAGTGAGCAATAGTTTATAGTGTATTGTTGATGCATCATTCATGACATTGTTGTTGTGTCCCAGTACTCTACTAACAGAGTATAATTAGTGAGCAATAGTTTATAGTGTATTGTTGATGCATCATTCATGACATTGGTGTTGAGTCACAGTACTCTACTAACAGAGTATAATTAGTGAGCAATAGTTTATAGTGTATTGTTGATGCATCATTCATGACATTGTTGTTGTTTCTAATCTAAAGTGAAACCTGAAAAATCAAATACCTCTTAAAACAGAACAAATACTACAGTCTTGGTGGTGTTTGGCAGGTTTACTGTATAAACAATACGTTAACTATATTTGGTGTATAAAAGGATTGTAATATGTACATATAAAAGTGAGGAAATGTATGATTGCCAAAGAGACAACTATCCACCAGAGTAAATATGAAGTGCTAGTAAGCAATTATAGGCACCCTTGCTCTTTAAATTTTTTGTTGGTCTATTTTCACAATGAATTGCATTTAAGCTCATTATTTCTCACTATGAAACGTGTTGAAAAATGTGTCTTTTCATTTTCTCTGTATTTAACCTTAATGTAAATGATTTCCATATAAGATAATAAAACTACCCTTCAGATTTGTCGAGGGCAGATCATTGACATACTACCAGTGTATTTGTAGAAAATATTAGCTATCCTGATATATTTGTTGTTATATTTTGTAGATACACAACAAGCTGTTGGAGGGATTATAGGAATAGTTTTAGTATTGCTGATATTAATAGTAGCAATTGTTGGCTGGTTTGTTTATGCCTACAGAAATCCTACATCTGCTTCAGGAATGTGGCTGATGGAGGTATGTATTTGCCTAAAGCTTCAATTGAAAACATGGTAGAATCTGTATACAAGATAGCAGCAAAATGGTATATTAAAATAAATGGTAACATAATGCTGCTATATTATATAATGAGCTATAAAATTCTTAGTAAGAGAACAATTGTACTCAGAAAGTTACATTATTGTTCTACAATCCATAATAAATAAGAGCCGAGTGACGTCCGAGGGCTGTATCCTAGGTGTTAGATGATGGACCACCATTTCACTGTCTCACGACTTTGGCCCTGATAATGCTTCCTGTCATCGTTATTACTATGTCCGAGACTCATTGACCAGTACTCCATCATCGTGGTTAGCGGGCTGCCAAGCTGACCAACCTGGCTCTGAAAGCAGCCATTGTGAAGCAATAAAACACCAAAATAGTCAACAAACCAAATCAACTCACCAAAACCAAGATGGCGGCCTACCAAAATGGCGCATTCCACCTGTTCCTGTCCGACTGCAGAAAATATTTAAACGCTCACCAAAACGCCTTCGGGCACCAAGCCGACCGTGCAAGGGCTGAACAGCCAGTCAAGGTCGTTAAACACTTCCAGTAGTAGTATTGAGAAGATACACATAATAAACAAGTAGCTTGAAATTGATATAATACTATGAATGAAACAAGGAGAGGGGGTATGGCTTGGCTTGAAATGATTAAGTAACACACTAATATTTCAATGGCTTATTATGCAATGAAAAAATTAAATTAAAGCTGTTATCCTAATGCTAGCAATTTGAAGGTTTGGTTGGCTTGCTTGCTTTGTTTGTTTAAATGTTTGCTCAAGCATTGTAATTAAAAGATAGGTGGGACTTCAGCTTGTTTACATTATACATAACACCCAATAACATTTAAGTATCAATAATGTATACAAGCTGAAGCCCCGCCTATGTATTGATTGCAGATGTCAATCTTAATTACAATGCTTGAGCAACATTTATACAAACAAAGCAAGCAAGCCAACCAAACCTTTAAATTGCTAGCATTAGGATAACAGCTTTAAAGCTTTAAATTATTTTTAGTTAGTACTTCACCATGTGAACATATTTTGGAAACTGTTCGATTTACAATATAAAGGAATGTCCCCTATATTCAGCTGAAAAAAAGTTTGTACACGTAATGACCTGAGATTTTCTACTTCAATGCAGGTCATAACCTGCATTTTCATTTTCATAGGTTGACAGGTATGATACATCTAGGTGCTAGATTCTAAAGATAATAACCAGGTGCTGTATTCTATAAAAACACTGGGGTGCTGTATTGCATTAAAAAATCTGTAAATCTTTCATATTCATATGTTAAAATAACTTTTGTTGTATGTCGAGAGGAATACTAGTCAATTTTCACAACCATTATATTATTGTGAAACTTTTAACCAGTTAGGAATGATGTCCATTTCTTCAAGAGACATAATTGATATTTGTTTTAATATATGTCTATTAAATTTAATGAATCCAGACTCAACTTAATGTTATGGATAAAATAACAATATACACATACGTTTTCTAACTATCAGAGTAGAACCTATTTTATCATGCAATTGTTTCTTTTAGCACCGACCAAGTGTAATGAAACAGAAAATAGTCAACATGAAATTCTGGAAAAGAACAACAGAGACTGGAGATAAATATAAAATAGAATCATCTGCATCAGAAGCCTAAATAAATCCATAGAATGCCTTACAAACCACCGACTGCACTGCAATCATTGTAAAAAATGTGTTATTTTTTTGTCTGAAGGTTAGGTTACTGTATGCAATAAATTGAAAACAACTATTTTGTCTGAAGGTTAGATAACTCTACTTGATAAAGTGTATGCAAAAGATTTAAAGGGGCATTAGCTAAGTTTGTTTCAAACATTTAAAAAAAGGATTTTGAAATATTTTGCTATAATAGTCAGTTTGCTTCAATTTTGTCAAAATTAGCTAAAAATAAAAACATCTTTTGTATTATTGGCTTGCAAGTCAATAATTCAACCTCATTTGAATCTGTACTCATGCAACCATCAATTTTACCCTTAGCTAGAGATGGATTACTCATGTGCTAAGTATGTTTAGTTATTAAAAAGGAAAAGAATATCAACATTTGAAAGTGAATCAAGGGAGCCACTGGGAAGATTTATTTCATTGGCTGATTAGGCCAATAAAAGACATTCTTATACAGTTAAAACGATTATTTACATAATTTTTAAATCTATGACATGAAATCAAACAGACCTGGAAAAATTCCTCATATATGGTAGCATGTGCTTGTCTATATTCATATCCATTATTTTGTTTATATCAGGTCAAATGATTGTCGGCCTTCTTCCTTAAGAGTTCATCTTAATGATTAATAATATGTTATCTATTCTAAGTAGCACGTAAAATGCTGATACATTTTAATGAGCCCATGCATTGTTAATTGTTTCTTTTAGACTAAAGTGTTTGCAATAGATTTTAAGCTTATTCAAATGTCATTTTGTAGTATGGGTGCATATTCTTGCTTCTATTATTTATTAAAAGAAGAAGAAATGCTAAGCTTTTTGAAGGTTTCATTGTATATCAAAAACCCCACTCTCTCATTTTACATTACTCATTTTTACTGCAGCTTTCAATGTTAAAAAAAGAGAATACTTAATTAGCAATGTAAAATAAATTGTCTTGTTCCAAGAAAATGTTGTGCCTGGCATTTTCCTGCCATTTTTTCCGGAAAATGGGATACAACTCGGTCTAAAATCTTTTTTCTGACAGCAATAAAATGGGGGCCTCCATACATCATATTTCTAAGTTTAGAATATAGTTTTTCAAAGTTTTCATAAATACTTAAGGATATTTGCAAAGAAGCACATAACCATTGAATTAATGGTCATGTCAAAAATAAAGGAAAACTTGATTGATTGCAAATGGCCATGATCATTTGGACAAAAAGGAGCGCATTTTTCACATCAAATATGGTCAGAAAATTTTGTCAAATTAATACATGATCCAGGTACATTCTTGCCTTGATTTTTCTAAAGAATTTTTTTAAGAACCAGATGATCAACTTTACATACACTATAGTCTGGTGTCTTAAAACAGTGATTTAATATACAATGAACAATTGATTTTTCGATGCTAATTGTTGCTGTTGTTGTTTTGTTTATTGTTTTTTTTTGGGGGGGAGGTCATTGTGCATTGTGACAGGAATTTATTGTGATTTGTAAGTCATCTTTACATGTAAACTTACCTTCAGATGAAAGTGATTTCATTTTTTCAAACATTCATCTTATTTTTTTTCATGTTCATTTATATTATACAAATGATTCCAGGTTGTTTTGTGAGAATGACCTTATGTAGGTCACATAAAATGAATAATTTGTTTACATATTTCACAAAATGATAACAATTGGTGTTTCAATAGCAATACATATATCATAATACTTATTGTACATCTTATACATGTATTAGGTTTTATTCAGATGATTTGTGCAGTGTACCCTGCTTTCATATAAATAAAAGCCTCAACTTTTATTTATTAGTCATGCCTAAAAAAATTTGACCTTTGTCTAAAAAATGTGTTTATTATTCAGATAATGACCTATCATGAGAAGATAGAGGTAGGGTCTTTGGAACTCCAGATTTCTTGACCTATAAAACTGACTATCATGAAATTCATCTATTGAGAGCTGCACAAACAAACAAATAAGTAATGAGTACATATCAAATTCACAAATTATTCATTTTCTGTCACTTAAGTTGTTGGAAGAAAATTCATTTTGTTATAAAGAGCTTTATTTACCCATCATATTTGTTTTCTTCTATTAGACTTTTTTAAATATGTAAATACTCATCCTGTGTTGCTCTTTTTTGCAATACTTAATAAGCAAGAGATTATTTTTACATGATGAACGTGGGACGATTGTGTTGCTCTGAATCCTACTTCCAAACATATTATTCTGGAGAGCTGAGAGGCAAAATGTAGATATGTTCTTTTTTAACTCTTAAACAAAATTAAAGTGTGGTTCTTTAAATGAAAACTATTTTGCATGATTTAAGATACGAAAACATAAAACAGATTCAGAAATAGGACTTAAGATACAAAAACCTAAAACATTCAGAAATAGGACTGAAAATACAAAAACATAAAACAGATTCAGAAATAGGACTGAAGATACAGAAACATAAAATAAATCCAGAAATAGGACTTAAAATACAAAAACATAAAACATTCAGAAATAGGACTTAAGATACAGAAATATAAAACACATTCAGAAATAGATAGGATGGCAGATCTTAGAACTCCTTCAAACCTCTTGTTTTTAATTATAAAGAGAAAATTTCCCCTGTTTTGGTTTTGATGGTAAATAGTGGACAACGTGCAATCTAATCCCTATAGTCACTGACTTGTGTTGAGCCATCAAAAATGGTTTAATTACTACAATAAAGTAATTTATTAATAATATATTTGATCAGATATTAGATTAACAAAATTATGAATATGTGCATTACCATACTTTTAAAGAGAACATTTCATTTAAAGTTGTTAAAAGTAGTTCATATCTATTCTTCCTATAATTATGGACAGATCATGATTCAATTCAAACTATTGCCTGCATTTGAACAATGAAATATTTTTATTGTAAGTTCATGATGCACAGTGAAAGCAATCTTTATCCCCTCAATGCTGAGAAACATTTTTCTGTCATTCACTTATACCCCACATGTTTTTTATTCATATCTTACCTTTGTATGACACCAAAGTTTTTTGTAGAATGTAAGAAGTGTGTTTTTAACATTCCATGATCATTACATATATTACCTCGGTTCCTTTGAGGGAATAAACGTTTTACTAGATCATCTAATTTTTATAATGATTGAAGGTAAAATTTACAGAGAATATGACTGAGCTAGGGTAATTTTCAGTAACTTATAAAAAATCTCATCTTTCATTGAATTTTCAATTTTTTGATATATTCTTTACTTTTAATGTATTTATATGTATAAAAACAAAATATGACATAGTGATGTATTTTCACAATATAAGAGTAGTCATTTTTACTTGACCCTAACTTTATCAATATTGACCTGATTATATTATATTTATCTATGAATCTGACCTAACTTAATAGATCTGCTGACAAACTATATGAATCTCACTGGGAGTGCTGCTGTCTTTGTGATAGGATACTTATTGCTGGGAAATATGTATTCATTTTACAATTCCCTTCATCATTAAAAATGTTTTTGCCAATCCAGCATCAACAGGGTCTCATTAGTCATTAATTCAGCTAAAATTTAAATTGTTTAGAATTTTATCTACATATATTACAGATCTATACTTTTACTTTTTTTTCAATAAATACGCAAAAAGACGAAGTGTTTTAATGATCCATATCCATGTATTGAAATACTTGTGCTTTAAATGAGTCTGATATTCTTTTAAACAATGTTTTGGCAAGTTTGCAAAGAAAAAAAAAGATAAATATTTTCTAGCTTTAAGTATTCAAATCAGTGAAATTTATGTACTAGCATATCAGTCCTTTATTTTTATATTTACAGTGTTGTGTATTGGGATATTTTATGTTTTCATTTATTTTTATTTATTGAATATGTTACTTTGAGTAGAATATATTGAAGCAACTTATATCAAAAACAACTAAATTCTTTATCAAATTTCAACATGTTTATACAAAGAATAACTATCTATTAATACTGATAAATTTGTATATTGATGAGAGAATATTTGATATTGTATGTTACATGTATAAGAATTAAGGAGATTATGTTATTGGTGTCTTTAGTAATAAATGAGTTTTTTTTAGGTTTACAATACTTCTTTCTACTAATATGATATCTTCAGTATGATTTGTGTTTCAAACCTGTTTTGGTGATTGCCTATGTAAGTACAATAAGATGTTACAATTGATGTAATGATTAGATAAGCTAGAAAGGAAATGTGTGGTCTGTTAAATCAAGTACCTATTTATTTGTCATTCCAGTTCAGAAACACTATTGCAAAAAAGTACTTAATCCTTTTAATTCTCTATCCAAGCATTTGCTATTTTTATTTTAATTCCTACTTTTTTGGAATCCCAGGATTCCATTCATGTTTATTGTACATGAATATTTCACAGTGAAATGGAGATAATGTTCACATAAGTTTCAAAAGTAGTTTAGGCAACATGTTCTATTTAAGTATTTGTAGATATGTAAATCATATAAGGGAGCTACCATTTGATTTTTAGGGGGGGTGGGGGGCTAGGATGAAATTTGAAAAAAAAGGCAGAACAGGAGTTTTTTGAGTAAAAAAAAGGCAGGATGAGCAGCTTGGCAAAAAAAAAGGCAGTATGACAATTTATGTAAAAAAAGTCAGGATAAACTAATGAAAAAAGGCAGGACCAAATAGAGTGAAAAATAAAAAGGCAGGACCAATAGAGTGAAAAATAAAAAGACAGGACAGAGATTACAACCAAAAAAAAATGCAGGACAAAATTTTTCATCCTAGCCCCCATAAAAATCAAATGGTAGCTCCCTAAGAATGATAGTGATATAACTTTTTCAACTCCTGTACTATTATTGTTCAAGTTTGATGGCTTTACGTTTCATTGCAACATACAATTTTTATCCTATTTTAACAAACATTTGAAATGTATAATGTTATATACAGGATTTTTAATTAGTTTTTTTGACATATTTATGGGTTGAATTATTTATGATGATGTGTTTTAATATTTTTATTAATCATAAGATATATTTGTATATGTTGAACTAATGTACTTATTGACATAATATCACGGGTAGAAATTTAGTTTATGTTCTTTTGAAGTTTTAAAGCAAAAAACAAATTCCACATAGAGAAGATATTGATGAGAAATGTTTGGACCAGAAACAAAATTAACATATCTCGTATTCTGATGCATACTTTATTTCACTATTAGGTTTTATGTCTTAAATAAATCCGTGTACATCAATAATTTCTGTAAAAAGTTTTGATAAGTTTCAGAAACTCAGTGAATGGTTTTGTATAATGTTATGGCGATTTATATTTGATGGTTAGTGAGACCAACCTGATCTTCTACCACTATAGGCTTTAATTGTGATTTTGTATCAAAGACTTCAGGACTTTACAAAGATTTACCCCAGCTCAGATGACAGAGATACCAACGATGTTTATTGTTTATGTTACTTTGTTCTACATTCTTGTTATCATGTCATCAATACATCATTTTTGTTATAAATGTTTTCTTTTTCTTTTTCTGACCAAATAACAATCATGAATAACCCCTTCTCCTTTAAAAAAAACACATATAATACAACAACAAAAAATTTAAAAAAGATCTACTCTAAAATAAGTGAGCTAGTCTTGACAACCAATCATTCACCAAAAATATAGCAGGGGTCAAGTTGTGTTTTTGGCTTATATCCTACAAAATTTAATAATAGAACTAGAGGCTCTAAAGAGACTGTGTAGCTCACCTCTGTCTATGTACAAATTCAACAAAGGACACTGTCATTGTAGACAAGAAAAGAATTCATGACAAAAATCTCTTTTATGTTGGTCTTGTATTGCTGATCATTTAGTCTGTTTAGTTTCTGTCTATCTTTAGTTTTTGCTCAAAACACAAAAGAAGGTAAAAAAAAAACCTCATTTAAGGGAAATCACTCCAATAAAGTGTGGTATTCTACCAACTATATTGGCAAAATTTGACTTGTTTGTAGATCTTGCCTTGCTGATCATTTTTGTTATTTAAAGTTTCTATTTATCTACTATTGTTTTTATCATATAAGGCAAAACGCAAAAAAAATGGTAAAAATTGACATTAAAGGGCAATAACTCCAATAAGGAGTCGTTGGACAATTTCCTTCATATTGTCTTAATTGAAGATATTGTCGCAAAAAATTTTTTGTGGTCGTATATTGGTATGACGTTGGCGTCGTCGTCGTCGTCCGAAGACGCATTAGTTTTCGCACTCTAACTTTAGTTTAAGTGAATGGATCTCTATGAAATTTTACCATAAGGTTCAATACAACAAAAGGAAGGTGGGGATTGATTTTGGGGGTTATGGTACCAACAGTTAAGGAATTAGGGGCCAAAAAGGGGCCAAAAATAAGCATTTTCTAGTTTCCAGACAATAACTGTGGGAAGGTGTATGGATCTCTCTGAAATTATACTACAAGTTTCCATACCACAAAGGGATGGTTAGGATTTGCTTTGGGGGGTTATGGCTCAAACCGTTTAAGAATTAGGGGCAAAAAAGGGGGAAAAACAAGGTTGTCCTGGTTAATGGACAAATACTTTAGTACAAAACATAATTTAAAGCAGTGTAAGGGAGATAAATCAAATACATCATTGAAATTATCTCCCTTACACTGCTTTTAAATTATGTATAAAGTAATGATTAATGAACAATTAAGATAATTTAAAACAGTGTAAGGGAAGTAATCCAAATACAACGTTTTGGTTACTTCCCTTACACTGCTTTTAAATTGTGTTTAAAGAAATGCATATTTATAAAGGAAGACCAGTAAAAATATCTGCAAATGTTGCATCTTTTTTTTTTACAACAAAATCCATATGAAAGATTTGACACTATATTTTAAATTCTATTATAAAATAGATTAAGTTAGCACTATGGTAAATTTAAATGGGTAATTATGGTTGCAAACTCCATTGGAAATTTGAATTGAGATTATGACCATTTCTTGAGGGAAAGAATTTTTTGGGGAAAAGAAGGGGGGGTGGGGGGTTTAAAGAAATTGTGGGGGGTCAATTTTTTCTCATTTCAGATTTCAGAAATTAAAAAGAATTATTCTTCAAATATTATTTTTTTTTCAAATTTCAAATATTGAAAAAATTTCAAGAAGTAATCTTTAATTGGACAGTATGGCACATTAGATTTGTAAAATCTTTGACCACATTCATTTATTTGTTATGCCGAATCTAACCGTGTATTTAGATTTTTAATTTTGGGTCCAGTTTTCAAATTGGTCTACATTAAGGTCCAAAGGGTCCAAAATTAAACTTTGTTTGATTTCAACAAAAATTGAATATATGGGGTTCTTTGATATGCTGAATCTAACCATGTATTTAGATTTTTGATTTTTGGGCCCCGTTATCAACTTTGTCCACATTGAGGTCAAAAGGGTCCAAAATTAAACTTAGTTTGATTTTAACAAAAATTGAATTCTTGGGGTTCTTTGATATGCTGAATCTAAACATGTGTTTAGATTTTTGATAATGGGCCCAGTTTTCAAGTTGGTCCAAGTTGGGGTCCAAAATTAAACTTTGTTTGATTTCAACAAAAATTGAATATATGGGGTTCTTTGATATGCTGAATCTAACCATGTATTTTGATTTTGGTTATTGGACCATAATAGGTAAATTAAAAAAATTGAAGTTCTTAGACCACATTCTTTCTGTGTCAGAAACCTATGCTGTGTCAAATATTTAATCACAATCCAAATTCAGAGCTGTATCAAGCTTGAATGTTGTGTCCATACTTACCCCAACTGTTCAGGGTTCGACCTCTGCGGTCGTATCAAGCTGCGCCCAGCGAAGCATTTTATTGCTTATTTAAGTTTCTACCTATCTATTACCATTTTTATACAACCGCAAAAAAATTTTGCGGTTGTATATTGGTATGACGTCGGCGGCGGCGTCGTCGTCAGAAGACACATTGGTTTTCCCACTCTTACTTTAGTTTAAGTGAATGGATCTCCATGAAATTTTACCATAAGGTTCAATACCACAAAAGGAAGGTGGGGATTGATTTTGGGGGATATGGTACCAACAGTTAAGGAATTAGGGGCCAAAAATAAGCATTTTTGTAACTTCCAGACATAACTTGTGTGTTGGTGAATGGATCTCTCTGACATTGTACCATAAAGGTTCCATATCACAAAGGGAATGCTGGGATTGATTTTGGGGTTAATTGACTCAAAATTTTAGGAATTAGGGGCAAAAAACAAGCATTTTTAAAGTTTATACTTTCGTCCTGGAGGAAAATGACAGCTTAAGTAATATTGATTGATAGACGGATGCCAGGTGATGACTTGAGACCTACATGACATGTAAGCACATAGGAGACGATGAATGCCAAGTGACGCCCCTAACACATTGTATGTGATCCTGGATACTACTGTGCTTTATGATTACCTCAAGACCTCTAACTTAAATTTGGAGATCCTCTTATATAATAGTTTCTTCAAGTGTTGCTCTTTAACCATGGAACAGCTGGTGCCAAGTTATTCTCAACATAAACACGTACATGTATATACAACATAGGACCAAACGCTACAGTCTCTCAACTTGTCTTTAAGATGAAGAACCTCAATTACTGACCATATAAAAACCAGAACCAGACAAATGACTAAACCTGATGCAAGTACTTTGACAAATTGATAAGGCTGTTGATAACAAAGGCTTGATAAAGTTTCACTTTTATTATATAATATAAGTTTGCCCTTTGGGAGTCAGTATCTCAGCTGGGAAAATTTTGCTCCAGGCCCTGTCGACGACACTTGGTATAGTGGGTAGCCAAGCCCCGTGGACATGGACACTCCGCCAATCAACTGGAACGCAGAGGGTTCCAAAAGGGGATGAAGCGATGCTTCATCTCGTAGCAGGGTGCTACGAAAAGGGGTTGGATTGACGGTGGAGAGATGAAAAGTAGTTAATTACTTGGGGATAAGAAGAGAAATTAACCAGTGGTGAATTTCGTAATGGTCCAAAGATCAGATGTGAAACAGCTGAGTGACCCCCAAGGAATTGAATAGGATGTGGTTGTAAGGGGATGGACTTAAAGTTTAACACCTTTGACACCTTCAATACTTCACTGATAATGAAAGATAGAAATAATAAAATATGTATTTAATCATATGAATCAGTTTTTAAAATAAAACAAACAAATACATGATATTAAAATACTCAAATGTTAAATATCTACAGGTATGTATTGTACATGTGCAAATGTACACTATATGGTATAAAATAAGAATAAAAGCAAAAATTATTTTACACAGGATATGACGTAATGGATAGATACAAGAATCATGATGATAACTTTTGTTGTGCCTTTTTAATTACATTTTTACTAGTTCTTATATAGCGACAATAACTATTAGAATTCCATCTACCTAATGTTTTAATTAAGTGATCCTCAATATTAGATTTTCCAGCTGTTGTAGCAGCTCCAATTCGAAATGAATGTCCGTTAAAGGACTGAGGATTATATCCACAAATACCCAAAAGATGCTTTAACTTGCTGATGAAAAATTCTCTTTCTAAAGCCTTACCCGATTCGTCAATAAATAAAGCACTATTATTTTGAAATTTAAACATTGTTTTCCTTACAATCAAATAATCATGTAAAGCTTTAAATGGACAACAATCATGATTTAGCTTGTGAAGTTGAATATCAACACCCATCCTGAACGGGTCAGTCTTAGACTGCTTTAAATGTAAAATAACATAGTCAGAATAAAACAAAATATCAGATATACATAAATTGTTGTTACAATCAAATGATTTTGACCTGTGAATTGTAAATTCGCCACAGCGTAAGAAACCATAAAAAGCTACTGTAAAAGCAGTATATAACATCTGGTCAATAAAAGGTGAAAAAATTCCTTCTTTAAGCTTAACACATACATGTTGAAGGATATCAAAAGTTATGGGTAAGCGATCTTTAATGATCGGTTTCTGTAATCTTTTAATAGAATTAAAAAACAAGGACAGTCTCTCTAAATTGTTACTAGAATTATTGAAAGGAGAACAAGCATCTATGTCTAATTCCACATATGTATAGTTTAATTGTAGAGTACTGTAGTTTGAGATGTTGAAAGCAATGTGTAGCAAAATATATCAATAGATCTTCTGACACTGAATGAGGCTTGCTGTCAGTGACACTTATACCATTTAATAGCAAAAAATTAAAAAAATGATTATAACCGGTCTCATATGACACTTTTGTCCCTTCAGAAATAGAATAATTCCATAATTTACTAACTGTTTCACTCAGTGCCACATTACTTCTGATGCACTTGGAACTATGCATGGACTCTGTTCTGCTTTTGGGGCCAGCTTGTGAAAACGGGTGATCTGTAAACGAGACAAAGCATCCGAAATTTGGTTTTTATAACCTGGAACATGTTTTGCACTAAAGTAAAAATTATATTTAGCTGCACACCAAGTCAGCTGTCTCATCAATTTCATAATTTCTAGAGTTTTTGATCTCCC